ATGCACTGTACTGCTGTTTCGCAGCTGACACAGCAGTCCTCAGTTCTTTCGTAAGTGGGATGCTGAGGACACCACCTGCCTTTTCCACTGCACCGCACACAATCCGTTGAGAGACGTAGGAAAGGTCCTTCAGATTCTCTACCGAAACCTGTCAGTTTACACTAAACCCTCGCTCCACAGTTGCCTGAGCAAGCAAGAGTTCAACTACTTTCCAGAGCTCTGTATACAATAGCTTAAACTTCATGAGCTCAGAGAAATACTCATCTATCCTGTTCATGCTCTTTTCAAAGAGTCGAAGGTGATGCTTCTTTTCCTGCAAGAACTCGGTGTACTGTGCCAGTACTGTGTCTCGTTGGTGATCAGTCATTCTCCCTGCGGTGATGAGGACGTCCAACACTTTTCTAAAACCAGGAAGGCACTCATCTTGCCTTGAACACATCTGTCGTGGGTCCAATGAGGAGAGGCCCCTAACCACTGGGAATTTCAAGGGGCTACTCTCTAGGACTTTCTTTGTCACGGCGATCAGGAACTGTTTACATTCCATCCGGAATTGAAACACGTCCTTCAAACTGGCTTTGGCTTTCTTGAAGATCTGCTCAGCTGTATGGCCTACATCCACCTTTTCAATAGGAGTACGATTGTCCGGGTTCTCAATGTTCACCCTCAGGAGGCCAATGAGTCCTTTTGATGCAGACAAGACTGAGCACTTCAGAAACCTTGTTAGCAGTTTCCGGACAACAGTTTCCAAATCTCTTGCAAGGAAGAAGACCATCGGTCTATCTGTTTGATATTCCGTTAGGAATGGCTTGAGTGCCATGGCAACACCCAGTGCAAAGTTAAGCTTTGCCGGCACCAAAGAGTCGCTGCAGAACTCAACCAAGTTCTGAAAAGATCCACATTTTGGCAGGTTTACTTCTTTGCTTCTTGCAGCCTCAACACACTTTTTGATGTCACACCACAACAACAAGGCTCTCTCAATTACGGCGACGTTCTCTACCCAGCGGTGAGGAACAAACTTTAGGGGAGATGTTTCCTGCCCAGTGACTGTTGTAAAGTCTTCCCTCCTTGCTGGAGAGCTCTCAAACAGTGCGCTCAGACTAGACAGTAAGCAATTTAGTCCCCACCTACTTGCTGCAACGCCTGCCCTGTAGGCGTTGTGCATTGTGTGGAGGCCACAGGTGCCAATGTCCACACACAGAACTTGGTACGCTTCTTGCAGGTGCACTTGGAAGTTCTTAAAGAACTTCAAGTTGACATTGGGACCATCCATCGATATCTGAAGGATCTTCTCAAGAGGCAAAGGTTCGAGTGCGCTCAACAGCTTTCCTTGTATGTCCTCGGCTGTGGAGTGCCCCATAAACACCGAGTTGTATTACCTTGTTGTCACCTTGTGAGACGAGTCCCAACACCTTACGTGCACATCCATTTGTTTGCGATGCAAATAGTCGTTTGAAGACTCGTCAAAAAGCACCACGTAGTGCTCACACTGGTCGATTTCCCGCTGCAAGGCCGTTAGAAAGAAAGGTCTCAGTCCATGGCACGTCACATAGCCGCATTTCTTTTCTCCGCAAGAAAACGCTTTTGCCACCTCACTGTCTGGGAACATGTGTTGGAACAACTAGCCCGATTGTGACGATGAGCGGTAGGAACAGTGGGATGTGACGACCTTCAGAGCTCACAACACTTCGGCGTTTGTCACCAACTCGTGCGTCTTGCAAGCAGCATTTATGTTTGGCAACTGCGGTAAAGGCGGGACAGTGGATCGTTCACTCGTGCCCGGAGCCAGGTAATTGTGCACCGAGCTGTTGGCTGCGACCTTCATGATGCCGGCATGTTTAGCGCTCTTCATATGGCTCTTCAATGCCGATTCGCCCATGGCGGCGACATCGAAAGTTTTTCCGCACGGCTTGCATCTTGCACAATGCTGATTTGTCGTACCTGGCGCCACCCAGTCCTTATATTCATTACTGCAGAGCCACGCACCTTGAAACTTGCTTTTGCCGGGCATTGTGCTACGACCGACGACAAAACATGAGGCCAATGGCGGAAACAGTGCCCGGATGAGATTGGATTCGGGTCTGCTCCAATGTGGCCAACCATCCAATGAATATCGGCTAAATCTAAACAAATAGAGATAACTTAGACCAAAACGAAACAAAAACGATAAGCATAATAAAAATAAACAATAAATACCCGAATTTGTTTTTTAAATAGCCATTCAAAGATTTTCAAGGCCTAGCCAAAAAAATCAAGGGCTTTCAAGGGCCCTGCAAACCAAATTTTCCAATTCAAGAATTTTCAAGGTCTAGCAAAAAATCCAGGATTTTCAAGGGCCTTGAAAACCCAATTTTTAAATTCAAGGGTTTTCAAGGGTTTCCAGGACCTGTGCGCTCCCTGCTGGCTTGTCCTCAGCAGGGTTGGCCAGCGTGTCCTCATACTCCTGGGTTTTTAGTCTTGGAAGTTAAAGCTTTGGTTTTTGTCATTGCTTGGTTGCTGGTAGATGCTGGAGGAAGCTTGTACTGTTACTTTGAAACATCAAGTTTACAAATTGAACACTAACCCGTATTGATGGTTGGATACAGAAGCTAGATTTGTCATGTCAAGGAGGTTGTCATAAAACAGTGGGGACGGGACTGAAATTAGCGGCGGAGTGAGCGACCGAGGCGCATTTGGGAGTATCAAAGAAGACGAGGTGTGTGAGTTTTGCGCGAAAGCAGGACGATCGGCCAGAGATGTGAGAATGTGGCGTCGAGAGAACTTGAAACGGGCTAACTGCATGACTGTTATCTGAGCTACATTAACCAGAGGAGAAGAGAGAGTAACAAGTGAACAACACTCTATGGCCAAGGAGGTAATTGACCAGGTTATTTCACCCAAGCATCACAGTAGTCATTTCAACGACCAAGAAAAATACATCCAAACATCAGCACAGCAATAACAGCAGCGAGCCAAGGAATCGGGTTGTGTGTATGTTTATACAGTCTCAAACTTGATCTGCCTCAACGGGCGATGAGTCTCCCAGCTGTAGATGACCGCTAGCCTGGGGCCCTTAACGTGCATCACGTAGCAGTGATACACGACCGCACGCCAATACAGTGCTCATCCAGATTGAAACGGGCAAATGTGGGTATTGAACACACGATTCTGGGTTCTGCAGCGCGAGCTTTCACTCCACATTCTCCGAGCTGGTGCGTGCAAGCCCCCTCGGCCACCAATCCCGCAGTGCCAGGGAATAACATATAATAAATGACAATGGTACAGTGGTCAGCAACAGGTAGCTTTTCAGTGCCTTGAGAAACCAGGTTGAGATCACGTGACACTTTCCTGCCATATATGGCTTGCAAAATAGAGATGCATAAGTCATAAAGCAAGTAATAATTTGATTTTGTTCATCTGTATTTGGCTTCCACAACTTCTGAAAGCTACCTCTGAGTGCATAGAGTGGTTTCTTTCATAATCTTACCTCCATGGAGAAGTTCCCAGCTGGTAACGGGGCCGTGAAACGCGGACCCCCTGAAGTCGCACAGGCGCCGAGGGCAACATGCCCTCCGAGCAGAGGGCCCTTTCAGTAGCCCGGCAGCCGGTGGATTCTGTTGGAATGATAGGGTAGGGGGAACACAAGCATTTGCAGGTTAACGGACCTAAGAAAACTAGTAGGCAGGTACGAAAACATGCTACTCGCCCCCGCAGCGCTTGCCTCACTGGCACTTTATGGTGAAACAAATCAGCAGCGAGCGACTGATGGAACACGCGTCAGAAGAACAGTTCGTCTTGAGTTTAACACCCTAGGACGGCGCTTTATCGCGCGCGTAAAGCATTGGCGTAGCCAGGTTTTCTTGGGGCCGGGGGGATTTCGGGTGCGAAGTACTGAACGCCCCCTCCCTGGCTACGCCACTGGCAAGAAGTGACATCGGATGTCACTTAGACACGGCGCTATCACTGCTAAAATAGACTACCATCGAACACCGAGTCGTGACTGCGAAGTTAATGACCCACATACAGATATCCTACCACACTATCTGTTTGGACAAGTGGCATACAATCTGTCGCTGGGGGGAAAGACTAAGAACAGACAACTGCGCACTCGGCTCGGTCGCCACACCGATCGCCTAATCCGCTGCTTTTTCGTAACATTCCGTTTTACTTTGCTATACTCCTTTCACGTGCAACTGTTTGTGAATGATGCGAACTGTACAGAAACGACGTAACTCACCTCAGCGAGCGCCATGGCGCGGTTCTCCGGGTTCCAGCGCTGCGGGAGATCGGCCTTCGAAAGCTCGGCAGCCCGTTCAGCTCGCCGAAGAGGGCTGTAGCTACACTTCGGTGCTTCACGGAGACACCGAGACACTTGCTGGCGAAAAGGGGTCTCCGCCAAAAAGTAGAAAGGCTCACTCGCGTCGCACATCACCGAGCTGACGTTGGGGGGGCTCACATCAACATCTCACCGCCGAAGACCGGGACGCATATTGGTGCTTCGTATGCTCCCAGGGTAAATTCTTTCGCGTCAAACGAAGTAACGTACATTTCGAGGTATTTCCGGTCTCTTTTTTCTGTATGCCGCGTCTTCGTTCAAGCACTAGCAGTGGATTTCCGAGAGCCACAGAAAAGGCCTTCCGCAATGGCTGCGGAGAAAAGACGACACCGCTTTGTTTACCCCCGAGCTCCCGCCCGGAGCCATCCTCCAATCAGAGCGCGCCGAGGTGACGTCACGCCACCGGCCTGCGCGAAAGAGCAGACGGCTTTCAAGAACTGCGGCTATGGCTGCGGCTATCGCTGCGACTCGACATACGTCTTTCAATTTTAGTCATGTCCACGGTCTTGTCCAAACACTCCACTGTCTCTTTCTTCGTTTTCGTATTTTATTCACTGAAACCCAACGTTCCTGATACCATAGCCTTCTTTTAAAACTCTCAACTGCTCTCAACCATCAAAACCGATCAGCGATCAGTGGCATCGAAACAATTTTGAAAGAACTCTAGAAAGAACAAGCCAGTTATGTTGGCCATATTCAATCCAGTAAAAGCCTCAAAATTAAACAACAATGGCGGGCATCCCCGATAAATCGTGGCAGCCGCCTTTTGTGACTTTAGAAACAACGTGAGTGCTCCAACTTACCCTAGACCTTGGTCATTGGCGTACTCGCAATGTCCACGTGTTTTAGTAAATATTTAGACTATAGGAGAAGGGTGTGTACTTGGGCTAGTTGGTTATTCATGAATAGGAGGTAAAAGCGCTAAAAAACGTGTGTCAGCACTCCCTCAGTAAACCTGTATAGCTCTGAGGTGGCATATTTGAAATCATTCGAAAGAGTAAACAATTCATAGATTAACCTTAGATAGATGAAGCGGCATTATTGCCACTTGTCTTGTTGATGTCACGGTGTATATATGTGTACGTGTTTTCAGTAATAAACTTCAGTTGCAAGTTAGCGCTCTGTGGTGTTCGTCATTCTTCAACTTGTCCGTCGTTTTTTAGCGCTTTTACAGACTATAGGAGCTCCCCGAAAAGAACGAAAGGGCTTGTGCCGGTGCGCAACACAGCACAAACTCGATCGGTACGGTGTAGTAGGTTCTCAAACCTCCTTGAAAGGGTGGGGATATTTTGCTGGCAGCCGGCACAATAGCCCGAGAACGCCGTGATGAGTAGCCGAGGAACCCCTCCAGATCCTGGAATTAAGGAAATGAAGCAGACCATAGGCTTGCAGACCTTTCCGTAATGCACGTTTGGCACACTGTGGCGCACACCATTGCCTGGGAAACTAGCCATCCTGTAGTACCAAGAGACTTCTGTTCAAAACGTCTCCCGCATTAAAATACGCTGAAGACTCATTGGGGCAGGGCCGGAATGAATCCCGAGTCGGGCAAATGAGGAACAGGGTGACTCATCGTTAGGTTGACCACCTTCCTGCTAGCGAAATGTGGGGCACGCGGGGCGGGCAAGTGGGAAGAGGGGGGGAAGGGGGGGGGGGGGGGGGATTTAATAACACGCATACCACAAACCGATACTCTGTTAACACATTTAATATCGTGTGCTGTTCATACACCTGCCAACTGTATAGCAGCAATCAAGTTACAATTTTGACTCCCAGTGGTATCTTTTAATGCTAAATATGTTAAATGTGTCGAAGTTGAAAACATAAAAATCGACTGTAGCGGAACTCAATGCATCAAATGGAAATAAGAAACAGTAAATATTTTTCGGGTTATTGTTTCCTTTCAGTGCTTACTTTTATCAACATGGTCCTACACAGATTTTTAACATTATGTTCTTTTTCGACCATTGTGAGTTGCAGGCTTTTGCCTTGTGTGGCTGTCCTCGCTAAAATAAATTCCACCGCAACCCTTTCGCATTGACACAGCGATTTGAAAATAATTACAATAATTTATATTTAAACTTTTGGCAAACAATTTTTTTTTACTATATTTTGCCACCAAGAGGAGATGCACAACGGCGCATGCGCATCGGCTCTCCTGCAAGAACGACGGTCGCTTCCCGCAATATTTATGTAGAAAATGGCGTACCATTGAGATTCACAAGATTACCAGCAACCTCCGCGTTTTCATGTGACCCGTTGTTCGGCAGCACCATGAGTTGCAAAGTGAATTTTACAACAGTGTGAAATGCGGGACATTTTGATGATTCGGGAATTTCTCGCGGGACACGAGCTCTTAATGTGGGCAGTCCCGCGAGTCGCTGGACGGGTGGTCACCCTACTCATCGTTCCCAGCTTGGCTCATACCAGTATGAAGAGAATACTGCGTTAAATTACCAAGCTGTCGCCCACCCAAAAGTTAAAGATGATCACAAAAATGAACGCCGTTTACAACTCCCTGTAACACTGAACTAGAGCGCAGCTCTTGAGGAGGAGGAGGGAAGAGTACTGAGGGGAGGGTATACGCCTCCTCACCCCCTCATCCTGCCTGCTACCCCTCCCTCCAAGCGGCGTCACCGGGGTCACATAACGTCATTGGGGTCACGTGACCTCAAGGTTACGCCGACGCTGCTGAAGCCGGAAACAAGCGCCTAAGAGCTGCGCTCTAAAAAAAAAAATGGGGATGGGCACTGGTTAGGTTTGAGAACAGAAGCGGTGCATGATAGGGTTGGCCCTTCTTTGATCCGACGAAATGGTGTAGGAGCTGCACAGGGGCCTGGCAGAACCCCCCGTTTTCTAAAGCAGCCGCGCCGCGCTTGTCAAGCCTGCTTTGCGCCGGCGCTCTCAAGTCAAGCTTCGCCTCTTTGCACCGGTGCACGTCTGTGAGACTTCACCACTTTACAATGTTGGGAAGAACTTTAAGCACATTGTACTTGACCCTTTGAAGGGGCATTGCCACACATGGACGGCCGTGATTGCGCATTTGAAAGTGCCCGCTGAAATGCGAAACTGCGCGCACCGTGGGAGGTGTTCCTACTTGTTATGTCTTTGGCAGACTATAGACATTATGTCTGTACAGTGTATCGTTTTGCTGGGCTTTTTATGATTTTCAAATTGGACTTCCCTGCTCACGGGAGACTCACTCGCATACCGGCCGCTCTGGCGGTAGTGCCAATAGGAGCATTGGCTATTCCGATTCAAACATCCAACACTTTTCATAATTAAATTCAGAAGATGAAAGCTTATTGTCCGACGGAGATGCTGCGTAAAGTACCTCTGGTTAGGGACCTGAAGCCGCTGGAATGTTGCGGAAGCGAACGTGCCAAAAAGAAATCGAATAGAAGAAAGGTGACAAATTTTTGCCTTTATTATTTTTATTGTATACTTCTAAACCTAACCAGCTTGCAAGCACTGTATGTGCTCCTGCTATATAATTAAGAAAACAAGAGTGCAATGACCCTTTCTTTACACTATTACTTTGAAATGAAAACACAACCACTGGGAAACATTGTTTGGGAAAAAGCTCGACCGTCAAAGGATTGAAGTACTGCCGTAATATCCCGAGAGATGGCCCACCTGAAATCGGGGGCAAAACTGGTGAAAATATGGAGGGGGCTAACTTTCAATGTACAGTAAAAAAAGATGAAAAAAAAAAAAAACTATTGTTATGCACGCATCTTTTTTAACTATGGTGAGGGGCAACTAATCAAAGATGACAGTACTTCCCAGTCAGCAAGGTTTGCTTATATCCTGCCAGGGCTAACTATAGCCGCATTTACGCCGAGGTCATCGTTGATCCCAATACTACGACTACTAGGAGTGGGCTATCGTTCGGTGTTTAAAAAAATATAGCAAATCAAGCCAGAAATAGGGGAGGGCTATATTTCGGGAGTTGGGCAGCTCTCAGGATTTTACGGTACTTCAACTAGGTTTAGAAAACTTGTACTTTACTTGAAGTACACTCACTGAGTATCTACTTGTACTTTACTTAAAGTACTTTTTCTGGTACTTTCCGAGGAATGTACAGCTTCTGACATCAAAGTACATTCCCCAAATTTGAAAACAAAAAATATGGCATATTGTAATGTAACAATCCACCATCGTCTTTGGAGACATCACCTGGTCATTTCTCTGAGCGAACTAATGGCGGCTATAGAACCGATACAAACTAGTGCCTTATAAGTCGATAGTGTTAAATAGTTTGTCAGCAAGAGTAAAACAACTATACTCTGTGGCCACTTGACTTTATCCAATATTTGCCACAATTTTCGAAAATAACTAACCCACTTTTGATTGCCCACAAAAAAATTATACCAATTAAAAAAAAAATTAGTTGAGGGGAATGAAAGAGCACTATAAAAGATTATGTTAACCCCTTAAGTGCCTTGGACGAGCTGAGCTCGTTGGCCACTTTTTGGCTAGAAGTGCCATGGACGACCTCAGCTCGTCCAGTGGTTTTTCGGTAGCCCTCAATTCCACGGACGAGCGAGGCTCGTCCCAGTAGTTTGCGGCGTCGATCATAGATGGCAGCACTCGTTGGAACATTTGTTTTTTTGCCGCCACTGATTTCTGCGCGATAAACTTTTGAAATTTTATCTATATTACTAGAGAAATAAAACTTCTAAATAAAAAATATGGCACTTTTAGGTTACTTTCCGAAAAAAAAAAAAAGGGGGGCACTTAAGGGGTTAAAAAAGTACTTGAACTTTACTTTGAAAGTGCATCATATTTTTAGTACTTTACTTGAGGTGTACTGTGCCCGGTGTACTTACTACATTGCTTAGAGCAGTGGTTCTCAATTATCAATATTTCGCAGACCCCTTGTGGATCGGCGGTGATGATGGAGGGCTCCATTTGCGGTGAGGGGAAGGGAGAGGAGAGGTATTGGTTAAATATAATAATGATTTAATAAATGGATATATCTAAGTGCTATTGTGAAGTAGTTCTCTCTTGTTTACATACACACGGGAAAACTGGCTTGAAAACTGAAACATTTCTTCTCGACCTGAAAAAAGACAACCGTTATTGCCAGGCTTGACTGATGAGGCAAAGCTTCGCAAACCCCTAGAAAGCCTTCGCGGACCACAAAGGGTCCACGGAACCCCATTTGAGAACCACTGGCTTAGAGTACATCACCTCTCATTTACTTTGTACTTCAAGTACTTTTTAGCTTTACATTACTCAACACTGCTACTTTGCACCAGCTTCTCAGAGAAGCAGCCAACATGAAAGAGTATGTGCTTTTTAGAGTGCAGCTCTTAGGGGCCCGTTTCCGGCTTGAACGGCGTCGGCGTAACCGCGAGGTCACGTGACCCCCCGAGGTCATGTGACCCACCCAAGGTCATGTGCCACCCCCCTTGAGGTCACGTGACCCCCCAGATCATGTGACCCTCGAGGTCACATGAGCCTCCCCCCCCCCCCGAGGTCACGTGACCTAGCCTCGACGCGCCTCGGGGGAGGCATGACGTGACCCCTGGGGTCATGTGACCTAGGGAGTCACGTGACCCCCCCCCCCCCCCTCGAGGTCACGTGACCCCTTAGGTCACGCAACCCCCCAGGTCACGTCCAGGCCCAGGTCGGGGGGTCACGTGACCCCCCCCGACCTGGGGGATGATGTGACCCCTCCCCCCAGGGTCACGTGACCCTCCTTGGAGGATATTGAAGAATGAAGGAGGAGGGGTCTACCCTCCCCTCAAAACCCTTCCCTCCTCCTCCCCCCTCTGTACCATTCCCTACTCCTCTTCAAGAGCTACGCTCTAATTTGGCGTTACAGGGAGTTGTAAACGGCTTTCACTTTTTTTCCCCCTTTCTGTTTTCTCTGTCTTGGGCTTTAGTACTGCTGAAAGTTGATTATTACATTCAGCAGTTTGTTTTCCAGAAAACTAGGCTATTTATGTATCAGCTTGCCTTATTTATCTCTTTACTGGAAATGAGTTTTTTCAGTCATTGAGATAAAATAAAACCGTCATATTTTCAGTCAGTGGCATCGCTGGGGGGGGGGGGGGGGGGAGGAGGGGGGGGATTGCCCTGGATGCAGCTGAGCAGTGAAAGGGGAGGGGGTGCTGTCACAGCGGGCTACGAGAGCAGAGGCGGCGCCGTCGCTGCGGGCCACCGCTCCTAACGACGCGAGCCAGTGTTGCCAGTGCCCTACAGAGTCTTTGATGGTGCTTTACATTGTGTATAGTTTGTCTGGTTGCCAAATGATGGTGGCATGACGACAACATATAATAGGCTATGCTGTGGTACTGGTAAGGCCTCATGGCTTCATTTTAGTATCAGTGTTCGACTCTCACTTTGATAGTATTCCTATTTGTAGTTTACTCCATTGCCACAGGGCATATAACTCTACACCATCTGATGCATTGTGCTTTGGTACTGGTAAAATGGAGACTTTATGGCTGCATTTTAGTGGCACATTGCTACCGCTAGGCTATGACTTTGATAGTTTACCTGGTTGGCACAAGATGGTGCCATAACCGCACAGCGAATTTGTTGTTTCTTTGTACTAATAAGGCAGAGGCTCGTAGCTTCGTTTGAGCAACAGGGCAAGTGCGGGCTAAAGTCACTTGTTCCTGGGAAAGTAGCACCGTTGCCTTCCCTGCACGCTAGCAGGACAGAAACAAGTGCTAACATACATTCATTCAAAACCTCAAACATGGATCAGTTAATCTATATCAGTTGCCATCTCCAAAGCTTTGTGGGACCATTCAGAATCAACAGCATCTAGATTACAATGGCACACCATCAGACTGAAAGTTCAGCCTCTTAGCGCTATATCAATTCGTCAACCTGACTTACCTCTGCGGATCTTTTAAATTGATGTCATTCTTTGCGCACACTTTGTGGCATGAGAATTACTTTTGAGTGCCGCCAAGCACCGGTGCCGCACATGGCGGCAGTGCGAAGCTGCATACTTTTGTCGCGGCCGTCGAGCGAAAACGAGCCAAAAAAAGATTGGAACTTAAGTCGTGTCGTTCGAGATTAGTGAAAGAACTACCGGTTTACGAATAATGTAACGGAGTTTAGGTCTAACAAAAATCTTTGCGACCAAGAGGTGTCTCAATGAAACAGCCTGTCACTGCGATTCTGGATCGGCTGAACCAGGTTGGAGAGGCTACGAATTAACTGCTCACCCCACAGACTGAAATGGCGACCGAACGGGGTCCTTGTCCTATGTTGCCAAGATCCTGTGACATTAGTGTGGGCACGTGCAGTGGCACGGTACCTGAAGCACGTCTTCGACTGGCGTGTTGACCGAGTCCTCGAAAGCGGACCCTCGATTTCTGCCCGATGACGTCGTACAAGTGTCGCGTCTTCGCCGACTGCAATCCCGGCTCGCGTCGGAGGAGCGGAGGTTGGTGTGGTGGTCGCCTGCTCTGCCGTAGATCGCTCTGCGGCCAGTGGGTGGACGAGACCGGAAACAGACGCAAGACGGGACGCCGTGACAATGCCAATCCTTTCGCCGCTCGCCTTTTCCACTGGCATTTTACGACCAACCTCTAGGGTAGCGACGGCACGACGCGCTGGCCGCCGCGACGCAATCCGTCACCACTTTGGGACCGATTTCAACGTGCGGGCGGTACGGGACGCTAGACGCGTGCATTGGAGATACACTCCGAACACCGGGGTGGTGGTTACTGACGTCCCTCTGCCGGCGTGCCAGGATGGGGGACGTGACGCTGGAGCTCTACTGGAAACATGCTCCCAACACCTGCCGCAACTTCGCCGAACTGGCCAGGAGGGGCTACTACAACGGCGTCAAGTTCCATCGGATCATCCCGGACTTCATGATCCAGGGTGGAGATCCCACGGCCACAGGTGCGCACCCCCTAGTGCAGGCGCGTCGGTCTGACGCTCTTTAAGAGACGTTAAACTCCTCCCAAAGATCTTTTTAAGTTTCTGGATGGTATTTTTGCCCCTCCTTCTTTCCTCTCATCTCCTTCGCTACCCTCTGTGGATCTTCCATTTATCTTTCTTTGCGCCAGTTTTCCTTCACATCATTACTTTTAGGCTTCACAATAAACTTTCCCTACTAAAAACATTTTTTAGCTTGATATAGTCACAAATAAAAGGGAGATGAATGTAAAACTGAAAGAAGTGTATGGCGAATTGCTAGGCAATCGTGTTGCATATCTGAAAAGTTTTAGCATCACAAACGTTTATATTGTCATTTAACAGCACGTCTAGCCTGTTCAGCCAGACACCTACCTTCACGGCGCTCTTCATCAGATAATTTAATGTGTGGCATGTGTACACTTTAAATAATAAACCTAGTTATGTTTTACAACTTTCCAACCCACTCCCCCTCCCACCTCGCCTACCTCTCCCCCTCACTCTGCCCCTGGTCACATGACCTCCCTGTTAAGCAATCTGCACCGAGTACCTCACTCTTACTCTCCCACCCGTCAACCAATCAGTGTCGAGCCTCACGGCCACACTTTTATCCAGGCTTCACTTTTAGGCTTCACGAAATGCCAAACACCCAGCCAAAGAATGTTTCACATTAATAAATGTTTAGCGAGGCGAACTTGCACTTACAAACTAAAGCAAAAAAGAACTGTACATCATGCAATGGGGACCCGTGGTTGCCTGTCATAGCTTCTTTTATACAGACGATATAGACAGAACATTTTGTACTGCAACAAGCGATGTGCTACAAGATGGTACTGGAATGTTCAAGAAGAGCCACAAAAGGTAAAATAAAAAGCTAGGGTGGTGGGGTTTGAGCCCCATGCATGGGGCTCAAACAAGGCATGAGTCTCACATCGAAAATGTTGCACGTTAAAAAAAAAACAAAAAAAACAACAAGATGTACAGTATAGACCACTTACAACGTAACCACTTATAGTGCAGGACCAGGTATAACGCGGATTTTTCAGCCACCGGTTCGCCTCCCATACAACTCCATGTAATTACATACTGCTTAAAGGGGTACGGAAACAAAAATTGAAATATTCCGATTTCGTTCGGAACTAAGTCAAGCATGACGGATAATAACCGTAAATGATAATCGCACGTTTGTATTTTGAACGATTCGCTATATTTTTCGTTCCAAACGGTGCGCTCGAGCAAGCGCTCGAAGAGAAGCGAACGGAGAGCGCGATGCGTTCTCCGTTCGCAACAAAAACAGAAAGAAAAGATTCTCCACATTCATGACGTAGCAAGGCTGGCGTGATTATCAGCTTTGCCCTTGGTGGTGTTGTCAGCGTTGTGGTGCTGTCAATAGCGTCAGCGCGTTACAACCGAGCCGTTCGGAGTACCCGTGAGGTGACGAGCGTGTGGCTGGCCCAAAGAGCACGTAGCTTCCACAACACTGTCAGCTTGGGGCTGAACGGGGTGGGGAAAGCAACTTTTGTTCGAGTTTTGAGCGACGGGCTAATCTTCTAGGAGGAGAATGTCTGTTTCCGGTTGCACGAACGAGGGTCCGAGAAAGAAGGGAGTCCTTCCTTTCTGTCTTCTTGGACCGTTTGGTACAATGCGCGATTTGTGAGTTCAGGAGGAAAGCTAAGAAGGAAAACGTTGAAATGCCAAAGAGCGGCGCTGCTCCGAAGGAATCTGCTACGTCACGACTACGTAGCAGATTCCACAACATTGCTAGACTACCTCCCAAATAGGCTCCGCATGCATCCACCAGGTGCACATTGAAAGATTGTTTATTTACTTTAAAATTAGTTTTGTGCTTTTCAATGGAAGACTGGTGTTTTTGAGGTTAGAGTGCAACATGCAACACATTAAAGCTAAAAAATGAGCGCTGAAATTTCGTTTCCCTACCCCTTTAAAATGCAGGCGCGCAAAGGGAAATACCGGATATAGTGCGGTTTCTGGAACAGCCCGTTGACCGCGCCGACCGAGCGGCGCAGCGAGCACGCTTCCTTGTGCGGCACTAGATAACGGCGCTAGCCGCAAGCGGCACTCGCGGGGGCAAGGATGGCCAGGAGGTTGCTTGAAGAAGCAGGGAGAGGCGAAGAGAGAGGCTTCAGTTGCCATAGCGACGGAGGGACTTTCCCCCGCTGCGTTGGAAACAACCGCAACGACAGAACAATCACAGGTCGAGAACAACTGGCCGCGCGCGTTGCATGCCGGTCGCGGGCCGACTGCTTCTATCCGCGAACATGGCGTCGGTGGTGATCGTCGACGTAGATGGCGTGGTGGAAGCTCATCGTTCCGCGTAGAAGCAGTAAAAGCGCTATCCTTGACTGAATTTTCGTTGTGTGTTGCTATGATAACCCAGCACGTACTAGAAGGGAAGATCCATCTACTCGTGCGGCGATGTCGTGGCGGAACTGTCAAGACAGCAGAAACGCCCGTGTCGTCGTGTTTGTTTACTTCGACTACAGTGGTGCTTCCTAAGCATTTGTGTTTTCGAATACGCCCGGATTTCTTATTTGGAGCATTTCATGCGTGTGCTTAAAGGGGCGGTGCAATGATTTTAACACTGAACGAATGTGCTGCTTGTATTTTTTATATTCTTTACTTCGCCATAAGTAAGAGAAAAAGTGCCACCATTCTCCGAAATACCTCTATTTTGCTGCGTAATCGCAGAAGAAAAAACCCTTTTTTCCCAACTTGCGGCCACATGGTGGCCGCAAATGGAACCTGTGGTGTGACGTCATTCGGAGTGGTTTTTGTAAGTGATAGTGTTAGGCAATTGTAAGCTTGATTTAAGGTTAAGTTTAAAAAATCTTGTTGTTTAGGCATGCAGAAACGCTTCAAAAGCCTAATATTGCCGCTAAAAGGGGTATGAACTGTTTGTGGCGCCATCTACCGCAAGTCAACAGAACCTGCCGTCGCCGTCATCCGTCGACGCCCGTGGCGCCTACGGCGGCTACACGAGCAACCCGGACGTTTTGTCTTTCCCTCGCTCGACGGAGTGCGTTGGTCGTGGTCCGTAGTATCGTGGTATCGTTATTGTTCCTGGTGTCTCGACCTCGACTTTGACTTCGACTGCCCGCCGCGCCGCCATGTTGGTCGGGAATCGACGGAAGAGCGGCGAGCCTGGCGAGCCGGCGAGCGCTGGGGAAACGGAAGCCAGAAGAACCCAACCGGAAACCAACGCCACTCCGAATGACGTCACAGGCGAAGCTGGTGCCGCTTCAATGTTGAGTTGAGGGGTGCCGAAGATACCAATTTCTTTTATTTTTTTTAATGAAAACTAGGGCAAGTAGGAAAGAATACTTTTCGGTCTTTCGTTTTATATGTGGCCGGGATAAATTCCCGCAATTAATTAGCCAAAGTCCGCAAATTGTTGCACCGCCCCTTTAAGTTGAAGGTATTACTGGCGCGTACCGTATAAAGGATGCGAATTTTCACGCGTTTTCATCACTGGAAAAAAGTGATTAGGGTTAGCAATCCCGAACGCTCGCAACATTTGTCCGCAACCTGCGACGCCGTTGAAAGGCTGCGCGAGGCAAAAGTCACTCATTTCTTTCAAGATGGGTGACACACTTGAGAGACAAGTGTACTAGTCTGGTAAAGTAAAGTATTTCCTCAAACTAAGCTTTATTTTTCATCTAATATAAAATAAATTTTTTTACAAAGGTAGGTTGTCTCATGGCATGTATTTTGGCCTGAAAAATTGATGTTTTGGTTATAGCACAGTACCGCTTATAGTGCGGATTTTCGCGACTCCCGCGACATACGTTATATGCGGTCTACACTGTATCTGGGAAAGTTCATTTTGGGGCGTATGGTTCCTATGTCGGCACTTTATAAAAGATTTTTCTTGGGTGCTGCTTGTTCCTTTAGACATCCCCGTCCCATTACAGGTCGAGGGGGAGCATCCATCTACGGGAAGACCTTCCAAGACGAAATCCACCCAGACCTCAAGCATACAGGTGAGGAGTGTTCCTTTCGTGTCGTCGACTACGATGCATGCAGGTCCTTGTAGGCCGGGGCATATAGGTGTGCCCAGATTTGCCACAAAAACATGACATAGGGGGGCCCCATGATCGAGAAACCGTTTCTTCAAGTTCAGCTTCTTTTTTTTTTTTTTTTTTTTTCGCACAGGAGTTTTTGTTTAACAACTGATCCCCTAGGGCTCCCTTTTCTGACCCTACCCACTTTTCGAACCCACGTTCTGGGCGACCTGAAGTGGTCCCACTGATTTCCGAGCTACATCTAATTCGGAAAATGGTGAAATGTCTCCCACATGCCTCCACTGTGTTCCTGCCCCACGCGGCACACATGAAAGTTTTTTGACCTCATCCTTTAACTGTAATCTGACAAAATACACAGAAGAACAGGCACAAACGAGCGCAACAATGCGCAATGCTGTCCATGGCACATCAGGGGTGGGGAAGGGGTGCACGAGCCTGTCAAGTTCCAACTTCACTTTCTCCTCCAGAACATGAATATTTGGATGCAATCTTTTATAAATCTGCTCGGGAGAGCTTAAATACATGGTGCAACTTGTAAAAAACAAAATTCTCCCTTGCCTATTCATTTCTTTTTTCAAGGAACGTACAGCAAAACTTATTTTTTAATGGGCAGTTTGCATCAAAATAAGACAAAAACGTTTCCTTGACTTTCCAAGTGTAGATCTTATTAATCTACACGGCGGGACCAAGGAGCTGGGACATCGCCGCATCCTCCAATCGGTCGGGGGCGCAGAGGTGACCAATTGCAGCAGGTGACGATGTCCCGGTCCCGCTTGGTACCCTCGTGTAGATTGGGGCCCCTGGTCATCGGTCCTCTTCAATAGTTCTTAACAGTACGATAGCACCAAAAACATTCAGGAAGGTGGAGGGCCACGTTGCACTGTCCATATTCTGGTGTTGTTTCACCCCATTTCTTGTTGGCTGTGCATACTTTGTACGCCCGCGTCGGGTTCTTCTCAGTGGGTGCAATGTCAGATATTGTCACAGACGAAGGCGAAGAGAAGATGAATAACGAACTGAAATAAAGATTTAATCGGCGAACTTGCGCCGGAAACAAAAGGTAGAACAAACGTCGTGAAAGCAGCAGCAAGCGTCGACGGCGACAGCAGCGAGCGACGGTGTGTCGGCATGACAGCTGGATAGTGGAGAGTGAATAAGTGAGTGAATGAATCGGCAGTACCACGCTCGTATCCTTATCTAGTACACTAGTCATCTCGAATGTCGGACCTAGAATGTTCAGTAGTTAGCTAGGGCGAGACTGACTATATCTGGTTTCACCTTACAATGTACCGTGATGGACGCTACAAGCTACACTAGCTAATCTATAGTTCATAGCTTGTCTGGTGACTTCACGCTCCCCGCATTGTACCCCCCAACCAGAGGGGCACGTGATACCCTCCGAGCTATGAATTGGCTCCAGTGGCTTGTAGCGTCCTTTGCGGTCCATAGTAAGGTGAAACAAAGAATAGGCAAAGTCATTCTGGCCTCCTTACCTTTACACTCGAGGTGAGAATACACACGAAACGTCTAGATACTTGGAAAAGCGTTTCTTCTCGGTCATGTGCACGACAATATGCCCGAGCGTTCATCACTTTCAGTTTTTGTATCTCTTCTTTTTTTCCTTGGCCGAATGGTTTTTTTTGTTTTTTATTTCCGTCAAACAGCAAAACAACCCATGGTAAGTAGGGCAACAGGAGTGGTTCCGCCATCTGCCGGAGAGCATGCTAGACAAGCGCCGAAACCAAGACACGAGTCATTCGTGGTCAAGCTTTATCGTCCATAAAAGGTGTCACGAGTGACACTTCCTATTAGTAGGCAATCGGTTAACTCGCAAGAAGTAGCATTTCACAGTGACACACCCCTGTCATCATTACTAATAATAAAACTCTTTCTTCAGAATAAGAAAAGTTTGGAAATGTAATGGTGGTTGACGTGAGCTGAGAAGTAATTGAGTATTGTCGAAGGAATGCGCGGCGCAAGTTTGTCTGCTTCTCGCACAGGGGTTGCGACGACGTCAGTAAGCCCAGCTCTTATTGGCTGCTTGAAAAATAAAAGATGTTTACGCCTGTAACGCCGAATTAGAGTGCAGCTCTTGAGGAGGAGGAGGGGGAGGTACGTAGGGAAGGGTATGCCCCTCCTCCCTCTCCTGCTCGCCTCCCATTTAGCGGAAAATTTTTCGCTAAATTTCGTGCTAGTGGAAAATTTTTCTACTAAATTAAGCAGGGAAATTGTTTCCCTAAATTTACGGGGAAATTTTTCCGCTAAATTTAGCGGGGAAATGTTTTAGCTAAGTTTAGTGGGGAATTTTTCTGCCACATTTAGCGGGGAAATTTTCCCATTGAATTTAGCGGGAAATTTCTTCCGGCAAATTAGTGGAAAAATTTTCCCGCTGAATATAGCGGGGAACTTTTTTCGCTAGCGGGGGAAAATTTTCCGCTAAATTTACAGGGTGTCCAGCGACCAGAAATTGTCAGGGAAATTTTAATTACCAGGAAAAAGCGGGGAATCGTGAGAGAAATAGTCAAAAAGCGAGCCCAGTCAGGGAAAATGAGCCGAAAACGCCATGAGTGCCCTGAGCAAAGACTTGAGGACTTGGGGGCAGAAATATAGGCAATAAATATTGCTTAGAGTGAGGCACGGGCTCTGCTTCCCCAATGTAGAGTGTGCTACTCAATGCAAAGAGAATCGACAAATCCAGTCGAAGCCATGGATTGGATTGGATTGAGAGCACGACACTAAACTAGATCCAGTTAGAGCTACTAGATTCAGTTACAAATGGGGAAGCCGCAGACTCCAATCCAATCCAAGCCTTTAGCCAAAAGTATCCGAAAGTGCCTCTGGCGGCCATATTGCCATTTGGTTATTGACATGTGTGGTTGAGCGTCGTGTTTTCATTTTTTTTCCGGAAGTGGGCTCTTCAGTGACGATGTCAGCGGCAAGAAAATGCTTGTTTAATCTGGACTGGACGAACCCAAATATTTCGGAACATGCAAGTTAGATCAGGCCCGTGCAAAATAATCCTCATTGTGCTCAATGCTAAATGCCTTGTGTTGTAATGGTCTTATATATTTAACCGCCTCTAGAGTGGTCAGGGAATTTCACCTGAAATTGTCAGAGAAAACCTGGAAAAGTCGGGGAATTTCAAAAGAATAATGTGCTAGACACCCTGATTTAGCAGGGAATTTTTCCGCTAAATTTAGCAAGGAATTTTCTCCACTAAATTTAGCTGGAACATTTTTCTGCTAAATTTGGCGGGGAATACTTTCCGTTAAACTTTGTGGGGAAGTTTTTCCGTTAGATTTAGCGGGGAAATTTACCCATAATGCAACGGGCAGTGGCGTCACGAGTGACGTCACTGGTGACCCTCGTGACGTCACACATGACGTCACGTGTGACGTCATCATGCGAAACGTCCCATAATGCACAGCGTGGTTACGCCAACGCCATCGCTGCTCAGGCCGGAAGCAAGCGCCTAAGAGCTGGGCTATAAAAAAATAGTGGGTAGACCTCGAGGCATCTAGCATTGGGGTCTACTCACTAAAGCCATTCAGAGCTCGGCGTTGTTCTAACGTCACCGCAACCCCTGCGCAATTAGCAGACGACTTGCTCTCCGCATAGGTTCGGCGAAGCCAGAATTGTTTTTACAATTGCAACTGGACTTGGGGAAGTTCAGAAAGGCTCTGGAGGCAGAGACCTATTTGTGGGATGATATTACTGGCAAATATTCAGGGTGGCAGATCAATTGCTCAAGCTTCTGGGCTCATACCGATTCTGGTGGCCACAAAAGGTTCCAAAAACTTCCTTATGCTAGCATAGCCTGCGGCTGTCACCTTCACATCAAATGTTGTGTGAAAGTATGTACCAATCTTTCACCAACTTTCCTGGACCTTACATTAATTTTTATTGCTATTTTTTGTTACATATTGAATTGCTCAAGCTGTTTCCCTTTGACACATTCTCATTTATGAAGCAGTTCACTTATCTTGAACATGTTTATCGATGTTATTATTTAAGTAGTAGCATTGACAGGTTTGAGGTCTCAATTATGCAACAGAAATTAAATTAACTAATAATATATCTAGATTTTCTTCGGCATCTGGTCCATCATGTCAGTACTAATGGGTGCGAGTCATGCACTTGTCGAGCAATATCCATCACCGTATTTGATTGTTATTAAAGTTTGCAAAAAGCGCCGACAAAAGGCAGGGACAAACTGCACTATACCAGTCATACTTTCAATTGAAGTTAATTGAAAAAAGAAAAAATGTAAAAGCCGCCTAGGATTGGGTTTCCACAACGATGACTAGGCACTTCTAGATTACTTCTATTATAAGTGTTTTTATATATATATATATATATATGTTTGTATATGCTAATACAGCCTGAAGTTAGTCTGCCTCAACTGGCGACTTGTCTTAGCTGTAGATGAGCAGTTTAGCTAGTGTAGTACAACCGCTAGCCTGGGGTCTTAATGTGCACCACGCAGTAGTAATATACAACCGCACGCCGAAATGTTTTTTTTTTTTTTATTAACTTTAGTGGTGTGTTTGCCTTGTATCATTTCTGGTAGTAGTTTGCCCCCGTCTTTTTCCAGCACTTTTTACGTACTTTGAGAGCTGTGTTCCAAATCTTACTCAAGCCACAGGAGTTACTCCTTTGGGTCATAGCGCATGATAACACAGGCAGAACGATGTTGTATGGAAGTGCAACCAACTGGCCCAATTTATTTACTTATTTATTTATCGAACATATCCTCATAGCCCAAAGACATTTTAAAGAGAGAAGGCACAAAAAACAATACCAAAACTGTAGTGTAACAAAAGAACAATATTAATAAAATAACAGCAAGCAAACAGTTAAACAGGCCATGGATCATCATAAAAAAGGTTTTATACTGGAGGGAAACTTTTCTTGGCAATGGAGTCGAAAACTGCACTCACGTTTTCCTCCCCTCCTCGGAAACTCTGAGAAAAATCGTCCATGAGCATAGTGGTAGCATTTCAGAATGGGTTACGGTCAGCGACGGTAGTATTCCAACTGGGGAGGTGGTTTCATTTTTGTGCCACGCGAGGAAGAAGGGAAGAGCGAAATGTGCCTTTAACGAGCCAATGAACCACTCTGCCTCGTTATCGTCATTACAAACTCAACTCAGGCCAGTGCCCGTTGCGCAGGCGCCGGTGTGCTGTCGATGGCCAATGCGGGCCCGGATACCAACGGGAGCCAGTTCTTCCTGACCCTGGGCCCCACGCAGTGGCTGGACGGCAAGCACGCCATCTTCGGGCGGGTCCACTCTGGCATGGCGGTGGTGCACCGCATGGGCCGGGTGCCCACGGACAACAACGACCAGCCCCTCGAGGACGTCAAGGTCGTGCGTGCATATCCCCGAATGAAGTGAAGCGCCCGCCCCGTCCGTCTGCTTGTCTGCTTTAGAGATGCAGTGCCACTGCTGTGGAGCCGAGCCACTGCACGTCTGCCTCTGTGCGTCTTTAGAGCCACTGTGCGTCTACTCGTCTGCTTCAAAGCATGGTGGTAGAAAGCTTCTGGGGTCAACATGTCGCCACCAGAGGTGAAATCGGTGGAGACTTTTGGTTTAGAGGGACACGCTCCGACGATGACCAGAAACGAACGAAACCAAAAGGGACACCCTTGGGGGCGTTCCCACTGGCCACTACCTCTATGGCCGGCTCGAGCCGGTATGTCACCTCCTCTTTTTCTTACCCCCATGCTTCGAAGTCTGGTTCCTGCGGCGTGTCTCCGACCAGTCTGTCTACCGCCTCCTTCCTCAATTGTGGTTCCTCGATTTCTGCCCGACGACGTCGTGAAAGTGTCACGCTTTCGCCTGCCACGGTCGTGGCGACGCCACAGTGGTGGAAGTGGGCGCAGCGAAGGCGCGTTGGTCGCTCTGCAGCCAGACCGCCGACAAAAGCCAAAGCAGACGCAGGTCGGGACGTCGCAACGACGGTGACGATCCTGGCGTCTGCTCGCCTTTTTCGCCGGCATCCGATGGCACCACTTGCCGGCTCCTGCGATGCACTCTGTTGCCACTTCGGAGCTATTTTCAATGCGTGGGAAAGATAGGGCGGTAAACACATTAGTCAGAGATGGACTCCAAGCACTGTAGTCACAGCAACGGGTAACTCCCTTCACTTAAAGGGTACCTCTGGTCAAAAGTCGAACTGAACGGACTAAATACAAGTACTGCCAAAATATTACAAAAATGGGAAACTGCGAACTACTTTCAGACCAATATAAAAAATGCTACTACCAGCTTCTTGGCGGGCATTAAGCGGGTTGGTTGTTTGTCGAGCATTCTTGTGCCCCGATGTCATCTTTGTTTTTAAGGAGGTTTCTCGTCTGTACTACCACGTTCGCCGTGTTTTTCTGCCGCTTGTTCAGCCGTCCCAGTGGACGATTTTTGCTTCTTACGTTATGTTTTAGCAGCCGTAGTTAACAAGTGCTCTCTGGCTATCGCGCCTGAAGATTATTGACTGCCTGCTCACTCAAGTGCATCGTGATGCCAAACGTGGCACTCACTGGCGACCACTCTGCACAAAGCATCTACGAGAAATTTGGGGAATGGAGTGCCGGTACTTTGAACGTAGTTTATTTAATGGTTCTACAGCTTTGACTTGGCGGAACTGGTAGTACTTCTTAAATACTGCCAGCTCTAAACTGGTTGCATTTGGAACCTCGGGATACACTACTGGAACTGGTAATATTTAAAACCAGGAACATACTGCCTACCGAAATTTTGACATATGAAAAATTCATGGCAAATTGCTAGGCAATTGTGTTGCATACATGAAACGTTCAAGCATCACAAAGATTTAGTGATACTCTGAGTTTCCAGATGCCAGACGCTAATGTTCACGGCGCTCTTCATCAGATAATTTAATCCGTGGCATGTGTACACTCTAGTTGTTCCTAGAATGAAGCGATACTACTGCTAATTGGGCCGATAAACCTGGCGATCTTCCAGAGCCTTCCATACTCTGGAGCTCCTTTTTCTCAGTGCTCACAGGTGGTGAAGCTCCTCCTCGCCTAGATCACTCTTCGCCTACCCATCTGGCCACATGACCTCCCAGTTAACCAATCTGCGTCAAGCCCCTCACTCCTCCTATCCCGCCCGTTGACCAATCTGAGTCGAGCTTCGTAGTCGTGCGTTTTATTTTGGCTTCAAAAAATGCCAAACAACTATTGAAAGAATGTTTCACAATAGACACTGGGGGACGGGCACTTGGTAGGTCCAAGAGCAAAAATGCAGGAGGGGATAGGGTGGGCTTCGCCACTTTGCACCGAGGTGCTTGGAGAGATGGCTAACGAGGAGCACCTCATTTATGTAGAAGGGCTCAGATGTTTGGGGTCGGCACTTAATCTGTTCCTTGCTCCGTCCTCAAATGTTTCAAGAGTAGCGGGTGGTCTCGTAAAATACGGAAAAGTGTTTTCATTTGGATGCATTAAAACGCTCTCCTCGATTCCTATGCATGCAAGCATGGCACAAGCATACCTCGGCAAAACTCACTGATGAGCGCGCTCGCTCACCTGTGTGCATGAGTGCACTCGCTCAGCTTGGTGAGTTCATGAGCTGAATGGCGTGAGTTCGGCGAGAGGTCATGGGCTTGGTGATGGGCGCGAGTTCTGTGAGGGGCACGAATTTATACGTTCGGTGAGGGTCGTGAGTTCAGTGAGTGGCGGGAGTTCGGTGAGTTCATGAGCTCAGTGAGGGGCACGAATACGTTCGGTGAGGGGCATGATTTCATGAGTTCAGTGAGTGGTGGGAGTTCGGTGAGTTCAGTGAGGGGCACGAGTTTGTGAGTTCAGTAAGGGGCAAAAGTTCGTTGAGTTCGTAAGTGAGGAATGAAGGTCAGTGCAGCTGTGAGAGTGAGGGTGAGTTTTTAACTTTATTTTGAACTAACTGCGAGCTCATCCAAAAATGCCGACCTCTGCGCAAAAGTAGGCGGGGAAGGGCTGCCCAATAAAGTGGAGAGAGCAGTCACCCTTTTTACATCGGAATGTGTCACCTTCTATGCTCCGTGGACCTTTTGTCAAATTACCCAAGCGCCAAGGAGAATGCTGGAAATATAGGTACACATGCTACATGCACTTGCCCTATCTGTGCAAGATTTTGAAATAAGTAACAGCAATAAGGTGTTGACGAGTGCACGAGCAAAAATAATTTCTGTCCCTGGCATTTTCCAAAGGCGTTTCAAATGCATAGCATTTGTAGGGCTCCTTTGCACTCCTTTTTTTGCTGGCACACCAAGGAGGCCGCTGAAGAGCACTTTGCGAGGGATTTGTAAATATATAAAGCCATCAAGTGACACTGCGACATATGGTGCCATGCAACGTTTTATCGTCATGTGACATCACAGTATCACACAATGAAGTGTGAAATATAACGAACGTTTCGCAAGTTAGAAGTGATGTGGAATGAAAATATTTTTCTTGATTCAGGCTTACATAAAGTAAGACTGACTGCTCGAGCCCTCTTCAGTAAGATGTTTATATGGCTTGCCAAGATATGAATATGCACATCAGCTGAAAATCGTGAAATGTTGCTCATTCGCAAATGCACATTTGACTTCACGGTCTTCATCCTGAAAATCACGCTCGCAGGAAGAAACACTGCGATCAAGACTGCTGCGAGCTTTGGTAGATTTGAAAATTTTAGTTCAGGGAGGCCAACGCTGAACTTGACAAAGTCATGCACTACAAATATATCCTTCAACTTATTGTGTCAAATAAAATCCAGAAACTGTGAATGCCATTGGAGCATTTCTGAAAATCGGCAAACCAGACTTCAAACACCCTGTTCATATCATGTGTACTTCCTCAAAATCTTTTCTTCCGGAACAGTGCTTGTTTTTCCAACAAGAATTCTTAAAAAAAAAAAAAAATTTTTTTTGTCGATAGATTTTTGATGTTGGGAGGGCAGAGATTACCACCGCCTCGAGTTCTTCTTTTGTAATCATATGTTCGAGTCATTAAGGTGATTTGAAATATCAGCCAGTAATGCTATAGTTGGTTACAAGTCCAGGAAGGTAAGAGAAGCTCCTCCCACAAGCGTGATGCACCCATTTCAAATCCCTCCGCAGTCGAAAAAATAGTTCACTGGAAATGCCCCGCTCCGCTTCAATGGATATCTATTGGCTACAGAGTGATGCCAAATTGTCTCCGACCCTCACTTTTTAAGAAAGCGACCTTTGTATTCACAAGAGAGGGAACCGAGCCCCTGAAAGTAGCCTTTGTATCCATCGGAAAGTGAACCCAATCCCCAAAAGTCGTATTTGTTTCCATCGGAGGGGGAGAACTCTGATCTCCTTCTCGTGGCTTCCGCAACGCTAAATCAAAGTCGAAATATAAGGCAAATATTTACAGGAAGGCAAGACCCTCCTCCCGCATTGGCTGCCATGTCATGGAAACGATGGGACGCTATTGGATGCGGAGGGATATATGAATTCCTTTGAGAGGCATTTGCCGCTACCTTTTTGACCTGCAACCTACTATAGTTGTACACCTAATCAGAATCAGAGAGGTCGTGCAAGTCCTCTCGTCAACAGTAAAAAAAATTATTTTCACGAATCTAGCAGAAGCCTAGCTTGGAGCCTTTATTACAGGCTCCGTTTGCCGTAGTTAGTAACCTGTTACTTTGTCGTCGGTTAGCAGACTGTATTTAAAAGAACTGTTGCTGGCTTCAGAATACATTCGGTAGATGCTTCGTTGCCATGGCGACGGTGACCATAGAAGGTGGACTTCACTCTGCGGCAGGAGACGGCCGTGTGGCGAGATCAGGTGCGTGCTTGGCCTCTTTTGCAGTGCTCTTCAAATGGGAGGAATGGGAGCAAGAGTTTGAGGGACTTGATGCAGATGGCTTGTCATCTCCAGTTCCTAATATTTTGATAAGCTTTCACAGAGTATATTTTAATCGGAACTTGGCCGGAGTTCTTTTTTATGGCAACCTGGCACTAAACTACTAATCTGCCATCTTTTCTGTCTTGTGCTCTTGGCTCTTACCACGGTATCTATCATACTATGTTTATTACTTTGCGTGCTTACAAAATTTCTCGACTGCTCCATTCACTTTTTTTTTTTTTTTTCGCTATAGCTTGCTGTACTGTGGTTTGAGACATTCAGAAGCCATACTTTGTTCTTGATCAAGACCATATGGGCTTCGACAAGGCTTGGTGAAAGGTGTGTCAATTGAATTTCCCATTAACTAGCAATGTACTGTACACTAATGAAGCGTTTCTGAACCTCCTGTCCAAGTGTGGTATATTCCACAGCACAGCTATATGAATGCTTGTATCTGGGCGTTTTGTCGGCAGCAAGGCATGCCTAGCAACATGTTCAGAAAATATTTCTGCTGAACTGAAACACCTGCTCACCTGGGAAGCATAGCCTTTCTTACTGTCAAAAACTAATGTCTGTTACTTTCACTCGCTAGTTTTCTGGCTTTCCCACAGTGAGGCTGATGTCTGACACTGGATGTTTTCAGTGCTTGTGCCTTCTTCGTTTCTATCAGTTAAAATGACCTTTGTGATGACTTTAATATATTGTCACCTGAGAATAAAAAATAAATGCCAAACTCTCTAACCTCCAAAATATTCCGACCTAAATATTGGACTTCCTTAAAGGGGCGGTGCAACGATTTTCGGACTTCGGTCAAAGATTTCTGGAAGTTGCCCCCTGACACTTCTGAAGTAAAGAACAGAAAACCGATTTCGCCTGCGTGTCATAGTTTTTACGTAAAAAAAAGATAACGATTGGTATTTCGGGCACCCCTCAACTCACTCCCAGCCTTCAGGGTCACACCTGGTCGCACTCCCAGTGACGTCATTCGGAGTGCCGTGTAGCTTCCCGTGTGCTATCTCGGAGGACGCTTCCCCTCCCTCTCTCTGCGTACATTAGCGGGCGCTATGCTGCAGCTTAGAGCCGAGCGAGGTCACGTAATCTTTCCGCCGTAATTCCATCGGCTGCCACTTGGGGTTGCAGGTGGGGGAAAAAGCTCGACTTTTGCTTTGCGATTATGCAGTGGAATCGCGACATTTTTAATGAAGGAAGTGTTTTCTTTATCCTCTGGGACACGATAAACAACGTAAAAATGACGAGATGCAAATTCTTTTAATCATAAAATCGTTGCACCGCCCCTTTAAATAACAAATATCGTGCTGTGCAACAGAAGTGCAATTTTTGTGTCCCAGCTTCGTGACATTCTACAGTTCCAATAGGGCAAAGCATTGTTGGAAGGTTTTAACAAGAATCCTATCCCCTAAATTGTTGGTAAAACTTTTCCATTATTTGGTTCATTCATTTCATGAAGTGCACGCTCTGCCTCTTGCAAGAGCAGGCATGCTGGTGGCCTTTGGTAGTGCAGCAACCATTCGGTACAGTGCAGCTATGCACCTGTGTTTCCGATAACACTAGGGAAATCTTGACCTGGAGCACAGATACATGCAACTTGGTGAAACATGCAATAGAGGTGCGAAACACTCGGAGCAGCATCAGAAATTTCAAACACATTCGTGGAGCATCCACACAAACTGCATAATCCAAATGAAAAAAAAAATGTTTAATGTCATCAAAGTCACAGGGGACGAGGGGATTGAGGGAATGTTGAAGGTCTAGGCTGCCTTCTTTGCAGCCACGCGAGACAAATAAATACTGGTGGCACCCTACCCACACGCTGCGTCCCCCCACCTCGAGTCTTGGAATCGGCGGCATGCCTGCCGGTATAATTGTCCCTAGGGTCCCGAAATAAATACTGCCACAGCACTGGCACACCGGTCCACTGCACACAGCTGCGCACATCGCCTCCGCGTCGCCCGTCGGGGTCTTCCACACTCTGCGAAAAATGTCCCCCGGTCCTCCGCAACCACCGGTGGACGTCCTCCGCTGGCAGACGCAGGGCAAAGTCCGCCGTTGGCCGCTGTCCTACATCTGCCGGTGTGAGACGGCACCAGGTTGGCATTGATGCAGCCGGCTGTCGGTGCCCCGTCGATGTCTGTGCCCTGTCGGCACTGGCGCCGCGTCGGCGTTGGAGCTGCGTTGTCGTTGGAGCCACGTCGACGTCAGTGCTTTGCCAGCACTAGCGCCCCATCGGCGCAAGTGCCCCGTCAGCACTGATGCCCCATCGGCGCAAGTGCCCTTCCAGCACTGATGCCCCGTCGGTGCAAGTGCCCCGCCAGCACTGACGCCCCGTCGGCACAAGTGCCCCAGTGGCGTGCCGGGAGCTCTTGGCCCGGCACAGATCCTTACGGGGGCCGTCGTCACACGGCCAGCGGTCCCTCCTGCACCAGGGGGGGCGACGGGGTCTTGGCGGCCGCCCCATTGTTAGCCGGCGGGGGTGCCCCTTCCTCCTCGCTCGAGTCCTCGTCCGGCAGGTCGCTGTCGTCGTCCAGGTTGATCACCTCGGGAGCCGCCCTGCTCTGGCACGCCGCCCCGGCCGCCCCCGACAGCTGCACTCGGCCACCGCACTGCAGCGAGGGCTGCACGATCTGCGCAAGAGGGCAGGGACCCAAATTTACCGCCCTCGCCCAACCGAGTGTTGTCTCCTAACTTAGATGTCTTTGGCATCTAAGTTAGATGCCAATCTAACTTAGATGTTAGATTGGCGTCTCGTCCTGTCCACACGTCACAAGTTGTCCCCCAGTGGCAACGAATGACATTGCAGCAGCCGGCGTGTCGTGCCGTCTAATGTCGCAGTCCCGACGGTTGGGCATGTAGGTCAGGGGTTCCCAAACTTTTCCAGCTTGAGGAACCCCCATCCGTTAAAATAAGACTTGGGAATTTTACGTGCCGAACCGACGAGGGTCGGGGATTCGTTTCGTCCGCCCAAGGATATTTTGACGTACGACCGAATTCTCGATTACGCGGCGGCACCTCCTCTGGAACGAGCGCCCCCTTGGCCAGGATAGGAACCCGCCACCCCATGGATCCGTGGAGCGGCACGCCATGTCTGGGCAATGATGTGACGAAACGGCAGGGAAGCCTCTGGATCTTGTAAGCAACAGTGCACAAATTGGGAGCGTCTAGCTCATAGTTACGTATCAATGGACGGCTCGGATCTCGAGAGATAGCAGGGAGTTTTAGAACAGCGCACGCTAAAGCTCTGCATACGCAAAGAATAGCGTCGTCGCCACTGCTCGTGCGCCAAACGCTAACCACATTTTGCGTTTTGTGTGCGCCATTTTAGCGTACGCTGTCTTAGGAAATTGCGTGCGTACGCAGTCTTTGCGCTTTTCCAAGGACGATTTGTGACGCGAAGTTGGCTAAAGCCAAGACTAGCACAATTAAAATATGGCGGCTCTCAGGACCATGGCTGCGGCCACTTTAGCGGCGTCGTGAGCGCAATGTTGACGGCATCCTCGCGACTGCTATTTTCAATACGGGATGACATTGCACTCGGTTCGAAAAACCCAGTAAGGTTGGCAGCATTCACTGGCAACTTGATGCTTGCGACGCGCAAACGTTTCTCGGCAAAGGTATGGTGTGCATAGGTCAGTACACAAGACACCTCCTGCCGACACAACGCAGGTGGACACGACCGCTCGCGTTGCGTTCGCATGTTTAAACAAATCTAAAATGTTACTCTGGACCAAAAAACCTGTTTTTTTTTTCTCAAGTCACAGCATTTTGTGCGTGAAATAATAATTGTGACTGTATCTTGGAGGCGTTGCAAGCGCGAGATGCTTGGGCTTTTGCGTCGTGACAGAGAAAGGCTATTTGAAAACTCTCTTGCATAGCGTGCGCTAACTAGGGATGTCGCGAACCACCCTAGGTTCGATTTCGAAAGGTTTCGATATTTGCGAAGCGAACTGAGGTTCGATTTCGAAAAATTTCGATATTTTCGTACCGACCGAGGTTCGATTTCGAAAAATTCGCAACTTTTGTCCACAGCGGAGTTTCGAATTCGAAAATTTCGAAACTTTCACGGTTTCTAAAATTTCGAATTCGAATATTTCGAATATTTTTTTACTTCAGGTTCGATAAATTCGAAGATTTCGAAATTCTTTGTAAAAAAAATTCGAAAACTTCGAACGCTTCGAATTTTTATAGACATGAAGTTCGAACAATTCGAAGATTTCGAATTTCTTTTGGCATAAAGTTCGAAAAGTTCGAAAGTTTCGATTCTCTTTTAACGCTAAATTCAAAAAAAAAAAAAAAAACTTTGAAGATTTTGAATTTTTTTAATCCAAGTTTTCAAAGTTTGAAGTCCGATTTTCAAGTTTTTCTACAGTTTCAGTTTCAGATAACGTTTTCACGACTCACTTGTTTTCACAAAATCAAGTTTAGAAAAGTTAGGGTGTGATATCTAGATTCTGCGAAGTTGGTAAGGCAATTAAATGAGACGACGAGTGTCCCGGACGTGCTAGAATATTTGCCAGTGCAGAATTGTGACCGCCAGCCCCCCGGGGGGAGGGGGGGGGGGGGGGGGGTCTTTATCACGCAGTAGTGATTGCACGAACACACTGTTTTACGAGACTCATCCAGTTCGAAACGGCCAGGGGCGAGCAGGAGGTTGAGGCTCAGAGAAACCTTGAAGCGACCTGGCAAACTAGCTCGCCACCCCTTGCACGCTGGTAGTAATCCGATCCGGTGAAGTTTATAATTGTACTGGAGGTTTATTTTCTGGGACGGAGGAATCGCCTCGCAAAAAGCACAAAAGCCGACACAACTCGAGGTCGAGGAGCGTTCTACCATACAAGTGGCGTCGGAAGAGGAAAAACGGGGGGAAAGAGGGTAGCGGGGGGGGGGGGGGGGGGGGGGGACGACTTCAGCCTCCTTCTCCCCCTTGCAGGTATTTCGGACTGTTAAAGAAAACAATACGGGGAAAGAGGGCGTGGTCGAGCTTATTTTAATCTGAAATTATTTATGCATATGTATAGCTACGGTCGCTCTTCACTGCATAAAAGGTTGCGTAGATGGTCATTGTTAGAAACTCGTTGTCAGAAGGCACTGCTCGTCACATGCTTAGTGGTTCGGAAGTTCAAAGCTGTCTTTTCGACCTAAACACCTGTGCCGATAGTAACAAAAGAAAAAAAAAAAAAAAGAAGAAATGCGGGAATAAAAAGCAGGAGAAAAAAAAAAAAAACTATCAAGAATTCGTCGGAAGTGTTCTATTCTTGCATATTCAGAGGTTCAGAGCTTCGAAACAAGTTTCTTTTACCAAAATGTGTACAGGCTAAAAGAAACACGTCCCAGGAACGTGAAGCGAAAAAAAAAAAAAGTTTTCTTTTAATGACGTGCTGAACTTGAACACTACTAGAAATCTTCTGCCATGAGTTAATTTATTCCTTAACGTGAAAAAACATTAAATACATTATTTTGTATTCTGCAGATGGCAATGATATGTACTGTCTGTGGTGTTAATTTAAATGCGATACCTCAAACAACTTAGACGAAAATAAATGTCAAGTTTAGGTCATAATTGCATGCAGATACATGTTTGGTCATTTCTTCGAAACTCACGTTGAATAACAATAATCACATCTTAAGACGGCACTTACCTACGCTATACATAGATCATTCTTTAAAAAAAAGTATAACATATCTACCAAAAATAGCTCCGGCTGCAGCGTGCTTCAAATCTGGCACAAACGATAATCGTCAAAAACCCGTCGTCCGTCCTCGCCCCTTCGGGGATTTATTTCTTTAAACCTAAGCATGCCAGAACATTGAAATAAATGACATTGTCTTTCGTAAGGAACGCAGCACCGCGTGTGAAAGTTCCAGAAAACAAATTACGAATGTACCCCACTACTTGAAATCAAATGAAACCGTCCGCCGGTCTTTCGAAGTTCGACGAACGTCGAACTTTTACCCTATAAGTTCGAAGTTCGTCGAACTTCTGACTTTTCAAAATTCGAAAGTTCGAAACTTTTCGAATTTTCTTGATAAATAAGTTCGAAAGTTCGAAATTTATCGAATTTTTTGGTCAGTCAAGTTCGAAAGTTCGACAAGCATCGAACCTTGCAGCGCAATAAGTTCGAAAGTTCGAAAAAGACCGAATTTTTTTGCGTAATAAGTTCGACGGTTCGAAAAGCGTCGAACTTCTTAGCTTAACAAGTTCGAAAATTCGACCTCCGTCGAATTTTACGATATAGACAATTCGAAAAATCGAAATCTTTCGAACCTTTCGAACCGCTTGATTCGATCATCGAAACTTCGATTCGAAAAAAGTTCGCGGCATCCCTAGCGCTAACGCAAGCGCTAAACTTGGCGCTAGCGTGTGCTAAAATTGCGTATGTGATTATAAAACTCCCTATTGGCTAAACTGGAAGAATACTTTATCTGGGAGCAGGGACCTCGAGGGTACTCTGATAAACACTTGGCAATGCTCTGAGAAACACGGTGTGAGATCCCATGTTTTAGTCGGTCATTTCTGCATCCTGATGATACCATATACCGTTTATATACCACGTATTGAGACGCTATGGATTCTACTGATTCGGCCAACTGCAGTTTGCATTTCGCTAGTCTGTATTTGTACGACTCATTTTTTCTGAAATGGCTGCTTTGCGGCGGTATTTTATGGCATCACATATTTTTTCCTTCAGGGATTATCTCATATCGCATACTATATTTTGCCATTACAGAACTCTATTAGTGTATATGTGATGCAAGGCATACAACAGTGCTCACAAAGAAAACATATCACGGCCTAAAATCTGTCCAAAAAGCAGGCGACTGTAACATGGGCCACTGCAAAGTAAAGGTAGGTGACTGAGAAAACGCTTTCCCCGTCATCTTTGGACTTCCAGGTAATTTTGACATTTGTGCCAGTTTTGTGAAATCCTAATTAACGAGGTTCTACCATGGAGGGCATCAACCATTCAAATATACACAGTTCGTGATATTCGACACAAGACAGACTGTTAGCCACCTCTCCCTCTACATCTACACCTTTTTTTTTTCCCCTCCTCTTTGGACTTAAAATTTGGCCGTCCATTGGCACACATGCAACTTATGCGGGACACGCTTAATGACCCTGATGTGGACTTCTTGCTCATTTTGAAAAGTGGAAAAAAGTGTGCTAGTACTCGTATTTACTCACTAGCTGTACAGTGTAGACCACATATAACGTATGTCACGGGAGTTGCGAAAATCTGCACTATAAGCGGTACCGCGCTATAACCAAAACATCAACTTACCTTTGTAAAAGAATTTATTTTATGTTAGATGAAAAATAAAGCTTAGTTTGAGGAAAGTCTATTTCACCAGACTAGTACAGTTCTGTCTTAAGTGTGTCACACATTTTGAACGAAATGAGCGGCTTTTGCCTGGCGCAGCCTTTTAACGGCGTCGCGGGTTGCGGACGGACGTTGCAAGCGGTCAGGATTGCTAACCCTAATCACTTTTCTCCGGTGATGAAAACGCGTGAAAATTCGCATCCTTCATACGGTACGCGCCAGTAATACCTTCAACTTAAGCACACACATGAAATGCGCCAAATAAGAAATCCGGGCGATGTTCGAGGACACAAATGCTTAGAAAGCACCACTGTAGTCGAAGTAAACAAACACGATGACACGGGCGTTTCTGCCGTCTTGAGAGCGCCGCCACGACATCGCCGCACGAGTAGGTAGATCTTCCCTTCTAGTATGTGCTGGGTTGTCATAGCGACACACAATGAAAATTCACAGTCAAGGATAGCACTTTTACGCGGAACGATGAGCTTCCACTACGCCGTCTACGACGACGATCACAACCGACGCCATGTTTGCGGATAGAAGAAGCCGGCCCGCGACTGGTGTGTGTGTGTAAGCGTTGTGAATAAGTTAGGGGGTGTGTGTGTGTAAGCGTTGTGAATAAGTGGATGTGCACCTGGCAGCATGCAACGCGCGAACACTTCTCCTCGACCTGCGATTGGTCTGTCATTGCGGTTGTTTTCCAATGCAGCGGAGGGACGCACGCACGTGAATGACACGTGCATGCGTCCCTCCGTCGCTATGGCAACTGAAGCCTCTCTCTTCGATTTTCCCCGCTTCTTCGAGCAACCTCCTTGTCCCGCGAGGGTGGTGTTGCGGCTCGCGCTGTTATCTAGTGTCGCACAGGGAAGCGTGCTCGCTGCTCCGGTCGTCGGCGCGGTTGGCGGGCTGTTCCAGAAACCGCACTATAACCGGTATTTCCCTTCGTGCGCCTGCATTTTAAGCGGTATGTAATTACATGGAGTTCTATGGGAGGCAAACCGGTGGTTTAAAAAAACCGCATTATACCCGGTCCTGCACTATAAGCGGTTACGTTGTAAGTGGTCTATACTGTATTTCTTTCTTTTGCCACATGTATGTGCACACCTCCTAAGGCCTACGGGCTGTTCGGGGGCACAATGAAACGCATGATTGATCAAATGACTCCCACTCGGTGGACGGACATCTGGCAAGACTTCAGACGCGTCCCGGCACCCCTTAGGCGTCTTGCACGCTACGACGCAGAACCGTGACTCACCCCAAAACTCTGCTTGTTTCCTGAGTGGGCTGCAGCGCCAGCACTGGTGCCCTCACCTGCAATGGAAGAGTGGAACTGAGCGGCTGCTGGAGAACTTGCCCGCTCGGCAAACTGACGTCAAGGACACGAGGTGCTACCAGATACAAAGCGTCCCGCAAGAAAACTTTTCTCTTTTTTTGTTTTTTTGTTGCAAAAGTAAATTTTGCTTTATGGAATGCTCAGCTTTCGCCCAAACGTAGCACCAGTGGTCTGAACCAGATACCAAAATTTCACAATCAATTGTTATCTTATTTAAAGTTATTGGCGATTTTCAGAAATTTTCGATGGTAAAATGGAGGCCGCCAAAGCTCCCGTTTACACAAAGTCGAACGGCACAAACTACCGAGAACGGGCCTTGTTTTCCCATTGAAAGTTTCAGAAGATTGCGTAACTTTTGAATATGACGACGGTTAGTTCCGGAATGTCTGCATCTGGGTTCGGATGGCTAGCGCTACATTTGGAAAGAGAGTGAGCGCTTTCCACTGCATAGTACTTCATATTTGCAGCGAAGGAAACGCCATGTTTCATGGGGGCGACATGTCGTAGATAGCTCTAAATGCGGTGGCATTGTCCCCCCGCAGCCCCGAAAAAATTCCGGTTATTCGCACCAAAACGTGAGTGCATGGGAGAACGAGGTACAGAGAGAAATGTAAGACTATTTATTTAGGCACAACTTGTACAAGGTGGGGTGTCTCCCCCCCAAAAATATGCGGCGAAGCTTATTTGCCACAAATGTACACCTTGCATTGCCGAACGCTCATTCTCCGTCCAGATGTAGCGCCAGTGCTCCCATGCAGAGACCAAAGTTTCACGACTAACCGTTGCCTTATATACGCGATTTTCTGAAAACTTCCAATGGGAAAATGGCGGCTGAACGAGTCCTCAAATACATGGAGCTGAATGGTGCAAATTATCAAAAGGGGCCCCATTTTCCCACGGAAGTTTCTAGAAAATTGCTTAAACCTTGTAAATAATGGTGAGTTCTGAAACTTTGGCATCTAGTTCAGGCCACCAGTGCCATCAATTGGGTGGAGACAGCTTTCGGCAATACTGCATAGTTTATTTTTTGCACTGAACAATACCCTGCAAGTTCTTTGAGGGGACGTGCTGTATTTGTAATTTCCACCGGTGCCGCCATGAGCTTTACCGTTTAATTTTGCATAGCTAGAAAGCGCAGTAGGGCACGCCAAAAATGTTTCGTTTTCTCAGCACAGTACCTGCAACAAGCCTTACGTGTGCCATACCAGGGCTTCACAAATGATTTATTATTAACTCTCGTTGCGAGTCAAGCGCCAATGTATTGTCTATCAAGAACAACCTTGTTGCTGCGGAGTAGATGCAAAGGTTCGCTATCAGTACGTGCAAAACGTTTCGACACGCTCAACTGTAGTGGCCAGCGACCATGCCCAAGTATGAAGTTGTTGCCAGGCGCTACATCTTTCGCCTTGAAACAGAACAGGAGCTTGCACGACATGTGGCAGTGCGATAACCTCACTCTGGATCGACCGATTATTTCCGCGCAGCAGTTGGCTTTGGTCACAAGAGACGAACTCGTCCAAGTGTCGAGCATAATGGCCCGGTTAAAATATTAAATCACCGGCGTAGTCACTTTTGACGGGACACGGCGATTATAGAAGAGAACGTAGAAAGCAGAGTTCAAATCGCTGGCAGCGCTACAGAACGGCGGACGACAAAACAGCATGCCGCAAGAGAGCACGGCATAAAAACAGCATACGCCAAAACGACACAACCTCAAAATGACACAGCAACCTATAACAGCACGTATAGCTGGCGAATATACTTCGGGACAGTTTCGGTGAATGTTTGCTCGTAATAGTTTATAGCTCCTACCCTAATAACCTCCACCGATTGCACAGAGCACTATACTCCTTGGAGAAAGGTTTTGAGCTTGCTGGTATGGTGTTCGGGTTAAGACGCGAAATAGTGGCAGTGTCGCGTTTGCTCCTACCCCCCCGATTCGACAGCGTCGGGAGAATGCGAGAGTTCCAGACGAGGAGGGAGGGAGCGCAAGCGGCACTCACTCGACTGCGGGCCGGCCTCTCCGATCCCGGGGATGCGGACGGCGATGATGCGTCCGTCGGGAATCCTCAGGTAGACCCCCTTGGGGGTCTTCATCACCAGGATCTCCGTGCCCGGAGGGATTTCCACGGGGGGGTCCGCGGAGTTGTTCAGCGGGATGGTCACCTCTGCATGTGCGGACGCGTCCATCCATCCGTCAATCGGTCACTATGTCCCGCAGCTCAAAAACCACGAGTCACGTCGCCACAAGGAGAGAAACGCGAAATTCGATCAAGCGGCTGTTTACCGATTTCTAAGGTACTTTTTGTTCTCGTAGGATCGTTGATCGGAACTCGTATAAACGCAACTTTCTAGACGAGTGCAACTTCGCGACATGTTTGATTTCCATCAACTTTAAACTAGAGCATCTGATAAGTGGAACCATATCTCTTTGTACTAGTTTAGAAAATGTATTCTTTCTCTTGTTGCAATGGGTTCTTTTTGTTGCACTGGTTTCAGTCGATCAGAGCGTTGCTGCAGCGTCATTCACCTTTCTTGCCCCTCCCCCATTATATTGCCCTCACGGGCGCTGTGGGGTACCTGAAATAAATAAATAAACATTGCCAGGTCCCTTAGAGCATGCAACCCCATGGTGAGATGCTGAGAACCGAGGGGTTTCCCAGGGTGCCCTCAGCAGTTCCCTTAGCGTCCCACTTTCCTTGGCCATCCCAGAACCCTAAGCAAGGTGTAAGATGTATGTATGTGAGGACATGCAGCACGGCGAACGCTGCGAAGCAATCGACCAGATGAAGTCCTACTGCCACATGTCCGAGTAACCTCGGCCGACAGCGTCTCCGCTGTCCAGACGGCGCAACTAAAAGAAAAAAAAAGTGTCTCGTTCCTATGGCAACTGGGCGCACGCACTTCCCCCTTGGAGCATCTGCTCTGACCTTGACGGTCGATGGCTTAAACGTTGCGCCAGAGACGTTCAACGCTTTCATAAAACTGTTATTGCCGCCGTTGAGGCACGAAACTAGGGTCGATGACGGAGCAGTGTCTAAGCAACACACGCAGCACAGGTGACAAGTTCTATGTGACGTGGCGCACCCATAAAACGACTTTAAAGACAAGCGTGTCTCTCGTAGAGAAGCTTGGGAAACTGGGCCCGCGAGGAGCTGCCATTAGCCACAGAGCCGTCTATACTGGGAGAGTTTGGAAACTCTTTTAAACGTGTTACAGTCTAGCAACCACGATTGCTGATCTGGCAACCAAATGTGTCCCCTGCCATATTCGCGACTCCAGCGACCTATAGGGGGCGCCCCCACCAAACAAACATGGCGACTGAGTCCAGGTCGCGGCGGCTCGGCCGGGCTGCCTGAACAGGTGGCGCGTTCAATTTAACAGATTTTCTTTTGTTTAATGCCCAATTTTATAGGTATTTCAACTGAGACTGTTAAGTGTAGCCGATGCAGATAAACTTGCAAAGCATAGTTTTGTTTTACCGGTGTTTTTTTGTTCTTTTCGTGTCAAACTTTCGTTTCGGAGATTTCGTACAAAACCGAAACTATGGGCTCCGGAGAGACGGTAATATACTAATCAGTTTTGATCATCTAAGGAAAGCGGCGATGACTACAGAATTGTTCCACCAAAAGTAACTTTTCAGCTAACTCGCATGCCTCGACCATGCGACCTATCTGTCCGCGAAATCGAGCTTTTGTGCGTATTCGCGTTTATGAAACAGCTCCAGTCGTCTGCTCGGCCAACAACACAGGCTGCAGGAAAATTACGAAAATTAAGCAACCGCTTCTTGAGCCAAAAACCATGTTAACCTGCCGGCGCCCCACTAAGCAGCTGATACTCGTATTTCAATTCAGGTTTTAGTAGCAATCGAGAAGTCATTTTGACGAACAGGTTATGTATTATATTACGTACTATGGGGGGGGGGTCCCACTAAAGCGATATTAGTATATCCTTCGGGTTGCAATATGAGCTTACTTGACTAGCTATTAGGTGAGCTGCTGAATAAAAGTATATTTGACAGACGGAGACATACTACTTAAACTTAGCCAAATGGTTCTATAGCCGGCAGCACGGTGACAAACTGAAAAGAGTCTTCATTGAAGATCTGCGCAGAACCTCTCTGCATTGAACGGAGAAAATTTGTATTTTTTTGTGGCCGGTCAACCTGACCAATGTAGACGTATATTGCTGCTGGCTTCGACGTCCTCGTAATATCAATATTGGAGGCGCGATAGGTCAAAACGCCGTGACAGCATCTAACGTTGCGAGACTTGTCTCTCACCTTTTGAAAACAGATCATTTCCCTCATTCATCATTTGCAGTGAGCAAGTTTTCCTGATTCAAGTAATTGCGAAATTAGCCCAACTCCTTCAATGTGGTCCAAAGGCTTTTTCGGCGAAAAGCAGCCAAGATGAATAGCCAACGCACCGACCGGCGTGGGTGGCTCAAACTTGAAGCTAACCGAACACTACCAAATCCAAGAAAAGCAGCTATCGAACCTTCCCATTCACTTGACTGCAACATTGATGTTCCCTCCAGTATCAGTTACCAAGGAGTCGTCACTTTGAATGTGATTCGAGACAGACAAGAAATCAAAAAGTTTTCCGTGATTCCTCCCCATCCAAGAAATCGAAAGCGCGCGACCGTGTGCTGTGGAGTAAACGGGCTTTCAAACACGTAATAGAAGAAAACAATCTACTGAGGCTTCACCACACTAATGATCACTCAGGCAAACTTAAGAAATATTCGGACCTTCGTCAAATTACATCGTTCGCCACCGCCCCGACAACACGTCTCCGCGAAAGCCACCAGAGACGCGGAGGGGCGCGGAGCAACCTGGACCGGTTGGTTCCCGGTTTTCCCGCTTAGCGACGTCCGTTTTGCTGGAGTCGCGAATTGCGTTACCAATTCATAACCCACTCTGGATTAGCCACCCCATGTCTGAAGTGACGTGTCGTCGCACTGAGAGGGTTTCTCATTAACGTGAGCGCCTTTGGCTTTTTCTACGCCGTCCATTGCTCACGCTTCCTTATCTACAACAATCTCCAGAAACGTTAATGTTTTTCATCCCCTTTTCTTGTCTAGAAAACTATTTTTTTTATATTCCCACCACCACCACAATTCAACACTACAGAAAGTGTTTGCTATGCAGGGCTTGCAAACCCGTGCCCTAAACTGCCTGACCTTTTTTAATTGAGCAAACATGTTTTTGCTTAAAAACAAAAAAAGTATTTGCATGCTTTTTGCATGCAAATGTATGTCTGATTTCTCTCTTGTGTCCATTGTTTTTTGCGCCTTAACACCATGATTTCCCAAAAGATTATTTGCGCGTCTTCTTTTTTTTATTGGAGATCCATAATAAGTGAGCGGTCTTTGAATGCAGTATTGTTTTCATAATCATAGAATTGTTTTCATAACCGCGAATTTAAGTGGGCTCGCTCAGAGTGGAGTGACATAGCGAAAACCTATCTCCAGCTTGTGTTATCGCGAGGTCTTCTTGTTCTAGCCAGATTTAGCGGGTCACATCAGCCAAACTATTTCGGTTCATGCAGCTCTGATTAGCCGCACGGCAAGGACCCATCAGGCTTGCCACTTGCAACCAAGATGAGGAGAGGAGTTTATATGACAGCTGCAAAGGGTGCGGTGTCTACACCTAGATATATGTCACACCGTGACCCTAAGCAAAGTGTTCTTTCAGTTTAGGCATCCTTTTTATAAGATCTGAGCCAATTATTGATTCTTTATTGCATCAACACTGGGACCAGTGGTTCCTTGAGACTGAAAGGTTTGATTACCCCTGATGTAGGGTTGTACATAGACGGTTAATATACAGTAGACTCTCATTTACTCAAACTCCAGGAAGCCACGAGTTTTGTTTGAATTATTGTAGGTTTGAATTATCAGAAATTCATTTAGATGCGAGATGAAATTATTTGTTACATGGATGGCTACACATACAAAGCAGATATTTTATGATTTTCAGGTATGCCACACACGAAACACTGGCAAAATGTAGGAGATAAATTTATTCTTCCCTCAAAAACATTCTTCATTGTAGACTGTTCAGACAGCGCAGAACACCTCGATACAGAATTAATTAAGATTGCTCATCCAGCATCCACACATGAGTGATGAAAACGGGCGCCGTGTGGCAGTTTCCATAGCAACTTGCACGGATGCTGTGATGTTTACTTGTGCCATGCTGCCACATCACGGCATCTGTACAAGATGCTATGGAAACCGCTGCACAGCGCCCGTTTTCATCACTCGTGTCCCCCTTTAAACCCCGTCAAGTGCGCTTCTTGCCGAGCACCGATGAACTGTGGAGAAGCAAAAACTATGAAAACGAGCTCCGTGAGTACTGCTTCTTCGCAGCGCGCCGGTGCTCAGAAACAAGCGTGCTTAACAGGGCCGCAAGAACAAAATGTATGACTTAACACGAAAATGCTGTTCGAATTAAGCGGCTTATAAATACATAAAAAACATAGCGGGAGAACAGCGATAGCTCTAAGCAGCTCGTGTCACAAAAAAAAAGCGCGTCAGTGTCAGTGCCGTGCACTCAAGTCCAGAGTTGCTCGAAAGGGTCATGACGTCGCAGCCACATGACCCCAAGTGGGAATTTCAAACAACCCACAACGCTCACGCTCACGTGATGTCTTGCTTGGAATGAAAGCGATTAAAACGTGGCATGTAATGCGATTTAAAGGTCGCCGCAAGTCTCAAATGATTTCAGTTTATAAAGTAATTAATTTGCCTCAAAGAAAATATTTGAAGAATTTTAGGCGGAGGCGGGATTCCAACCCACGACCCTTAGGTTGCGAGCCAGACACGCCACTGATTAGGCCATGCAGACAAGCTTGCACTGCTTGGGAATGAGCGGAAGTTTTTATGTAATAGCCATTGCGTTCTACTCTTAAATGGGTACTCCGCCGATTTTTGAGCTACCTCAACTAACTATATTTTCTGACTCCCCGGCCTTTGCCCTTTCTGGAATGCTATTTAATATCGTAAAATTCATAATAGTTATTGCGAAATCGGCAAATGAAAATGATGCGAAAACAGACATTCAAATATACCCGCCCTTTTCAGGGCCGTGACGTCAGTGGAAGTTCAGCTTGCCAGTCGGGCGAGCAGTCTAAAAAATAGAATATGCCAATTATTTGTTCCGTGCTGGAGCGCGGGGACTGGAGCGAGCTTCCAAGGCATTCATTTGACACCATGAAACTGCTTCGAATCAGTTGGGAACAAATTCTACAGTCCAAAGACTGAACCCCTGCACTTCCAATGACGTCACTTTTTCATTGTTGCCAGTAGAGACTTTCAGTTTGAAAAACACGGTGAGGACCAAAATTGTAAATTCAATAACTTCGTGAAAAAAAATTATTTTGACCCAATATTTGGGATACTATTTTGGCGATGTTGTTTGGCGAGTTTAGCAAAATTTCAAGCAAATCGGGGACCATGAAGAAATCGGCGGAGTACCCCTTTAAAGGCGAAGCTTAAGCATCCACCTGTATTTATTGATACTTGCTTGAATTAAAGGAGCTGTGCAACAATTTTTGTAATGTGCACAAATACCGCTTAAAACGGATCCCTAACGTTAATGACCTATGAAACACGCGTTCGTTTTTCACCCCACGCAATAGAAGTCCCAGAAAAAAATTTAAGAAAAACGAGCAGCGTTCACCCCCTCAACTCGCAGCCAGAACAGGCGGCCACGTGATCTGGAGCCGATTATATGCCGCCAGTGTGGATCATAGCCACGCGCTGGGGTTGGCAAAGCGCAGGACACGCGCTGAGTTCCAGACATTGTTATGGCTCGGCTGTTGCCGTCGTTGCAGCGATTGGACACGGGTCACTACCCGAATGCTCCTCGAGCTAGCAATTGTCACGAGCCCAAGTCGAGTGCCCACGTAATGCTCGGGTCCAATCTATGAACCGCATTCAGATATCGTCACTTGGGTGTACTGCGATCCCCGAGTTACGTCATCAAATTTTGCAAAGGAGAGATTGAATGAAAATGATCGCTTTTGTCCTTGAAATTACACCGCAACAAAGGAGTTTCTTGGCCAATGGCGTTGCGTGTGAGTATCCTTGAGTCCCAGGTGTGCCGGTAAGCTCGTCTAGAGAGAAAAACATTCCAATTTAATATCGTTGCACAGCTCCTTTAACCAGAAGTATGAAATATCCGAGTTTGAATTATCGTAAGCCTACTGTACTATGAATGCAAATGAAAGGTTATCAATGGTATTACATATTTAAACCCTTATTTGAACAATAAGGAGCAAGATGGCTAAATCACTCGAGAGACAGATATTGAGGCCAGGACACTTTTGTGTCTAGTACCCTTTTTGTCTCTTCCCAGATGCAGTGCAGTGCCAACTAGACACTGATAAAATGCTATTGCTTTCGAATAAGCTGAGAAGGAAAAATCAGCGGTGAGAAGAACAGCAGCACTGGGTGATTTCGGTGCTGACATTGCAAGAATGTGTTTCAGTGCCTGGGAACTCGTCGACTCACTACATTTATAAAGAACAACGGGCACGTTAATGCGCACACTGAACAGCGTCCCGAGACGCCCTCGTGTACAAAAAGAGACGTCCACTCACTTGCGGGCACGCGCATGCGCTGCACGGTCATGCCCTGGCGCAGCAGCGACTGCATCACGTTGGGGCTGCCCCAGATGGGCATGTCCCCGTTGGAGGCCGGCTGTAAGGGCGACGGCGTAGTCTGGGCGGGCCCCACAAACGTCACGTTGCCCTGCTGCCGGTTCTGCCAGCCCTGGTACCTGCGGGAATCGTTCGAGGAGGGGATGCTTGATCGGTCTGTCACCAAGCTTGAAGGGCCCCTCACTCGGATGCAAGGCCCCTCATCAATCTTGAACACGGTATAATACTCCGCATGCGTAAAGTGCACGAGCAACTTTGTGGTTCGTCGCTGGCCCGTAACGACCTGGCAGCCCATAGCTATGGCTATAGTCCATCATAGCACGAGACGCAGCGCAGACGGAGCATAGTAGCCCAGGGAAAAGTGCTCGTGGAGCGCGCACGTGAAGGGTGCACGCATACCCGTTGGTGTAGGCGGCGCTGTGCACGTAGCTGCGTCCGCCGTGCAGCGTGGCCCTCTTCTCCAGCTCGTAGCTCTGCTTGGCGAGTCGCTTCTCGAACTTGGTCAGCTTCAGGTCCTTGCGGTCCAGCAGCAGGGACTCGTGCTCAAAGGGCTCCTTCGGGTCAGAAGGAGAGATTGGTAAGAACTGGCATCGCCCGCCAACGAGACTCTTATGGCGGCATCATTTGGAATGTCTACCACAATTGTTCCTTTCCAGGTTGTCCCGGACAATAAGTCACCCAATTTGGAGAAAGAAGGATGTAAAAAGTCATGAGCCATTCCGCTCTGTCAAGGCGAATGACCAGCGAAGCTGTTCAGCACGTGACACAGACCCGCCTCGAGGAACTGGAGGAAACTAGACACGCGCGACGGGAGCGCCACCCCGGGGAAGGAAAGGAAACTAGGCACGCAAGCGCTTGGAGCGACGACAAAGAGAGGGCGGTGCAAGCGTAGACATGGCCGACGCGGGTCACACAGCTGCTAATTTTTGAGAAACCTTGATTATCTACCTGAGAGTCTATACTGATCTTGAAAATGGTGCTATTGATAATTAATGTACTGAATAGACCTAAATTACCCAATCATCAAGAAGAATGCAGGGAATGGTGTTCCACATGCCACATGTGCCGGTGCCTGCAGCAGTAACTCTTCTAAAGCAAAAGCCTAAAACAAACAGCATCTTGCACGCACATTCGTCAACGGTTTATTTTGGTTATTTGCATTGATTCTTCTTTAATACTGGGAAGGTGTGCCACGAGCGTAAAGATTTTACTCACTGTGCACGAAAAATCCACGGACTTTAGCCATAAACAGTTTCGCTTCAAAACCACTGATGGAGATCGCAGCCTTCACAAAAGGTTTGATAAAAATAGCGGTCCATAAAATTGATGCCGATCTTTGTGTAATCAAGCTCTTGTCCGAAATAAAATACGCAATAGGGCGGTGTCACCGCGTCACTGGCGACATCTTGCAACGACCAGGAGGCGAAGAAAAAAAGACAGTAAGAAGGTCGACTCTCCCACAAGTTCTTACGTATGCTTTGCGCCAACCGACTGTAGGTACGGTGCATGGAATATGTATGTCTTAAAAGGATGCGCTTGGTGTCCCATCTTGCCACGGAGGTGGGAAGCTTCCGGAGGTGACATGACGCCACCAGAGGTGAAGCCAGAAGTGCGGACGGACACGCACCCAACGACGACCAAAACGGCTGCGGCTTTGGTCGTCGTTGGGGGCATGTCCCTTTGCACTTCTGGCTTGCCTCCAGAAGCTTCGTACCTCCATGAGCGGAACGAACTCCCACAAAGTGCACCTCGGCACGCACGAGCGCGGAGGGAGCACTCGCCTTGGTGAGGCACTGGGAGTACTCGACGGAGAGGGTGCGCAGCACGGAGTCTGAGTATCCCCCAGCCGAGGCGGAAAGGTCCTGCACAGGAGGGTCGTCCTCATTGTCCTGGACAAGCGTGCTCACGTCCTTCCAGGTCAGGTTCGCCTCTGGGTTCATCTCGTCCACCACGCGGTCTGGGGAGAAGGGGGCCTCGTATTCAGCTGCGATCGCTGGCTTAGGTTCAGCTCCGACTGCCCAGTCGAATACGGTGGTGACCCACACTTGGTTGCGACTGCTGACTCAGACTAAGTTGCAACTGCCGACTCACGTTTGGGCGCAGTTTCTGACTCACGTTCAGTTACGACTGTTATTTCGCACGCAGTCGCGACTGCCAACTCGTTCGATTCTGACCACTCGCTCCGATTCAGCCACGATTGCTGACTCAAGCTCCGTTCCGACTGCTCCGTTCAATCGAGACTGCAAACTCGTGTTCGGTTGTGATCGCTGACTCGCATTCAGTTGTGGTTCCCGACCCAGAATCAGTTCCGACTGCTGCATTCAGTTATTACCGATTTATAGACTGCCAACTCACATCAACCATGATTACTGGCTCGCACTCAGTTAAGACTGCTGACTCATAGTCACTCGCAATTGCCGACTCTCATTCAGTTGCGAATGCTGAATTACATTCAGTTGCAAATTCCACTGCGATTGCTGACTAAACTCCATTTTGAAATTGCAATATTGGTTGTTTATTATGTATTCTGAGAAAGCAATAATTCACAAATAATATAAAAAAATGTACTGAAAAGCTGATTTCTTCGAATTGGGGAAAAGTTTTATCTTTTTATGCAAAAGCTTTATAGGACACATGCAAAGGCAAAAAACATTTTTTTTTAGACAGCTTAGATGGAAAAAGGCTGTCATAAAACGATTTTACAACGAAGAAACAAAATTTTAGAGCCATATTTACGGCGCTATACGAATTTGTAGTTGGCGCTCGCGGGAGCCGCCGCTAATCACGTGGTAAGCCCGCGCGCCGCCGCGCTGCGTCACCGCCGCACGCTGAGCGTTGTGCGAACGCCGCTTCATCGCGTTTCTCCAAGCCACCGTCGCCGCCGCCGCACAAGTTCGTCAGCTTCAGGGCGCCGCCGCCGTCGTCTGACCGGCGCACAGGTCTATCACGTCTGCTTGCGCTTTTTCAGGAGTTTCCTTTGGGCTCTAAAAGTTACTTATTCGTCTTGGTTTTTTGTTATACTTCAAACAAAGATGAATAAGTTACTTTTAGAGGCTATAGGAAGCTTCCGAAAGAGCGCAAGCACCACGTGATAAATAAAGACCAGTCACGTGATAAATACGGACCACTTTTCCGCTGTGCCCGCGGGCGCCAACCACAAATTCGTTTCGCGCCGTAAATATAGCTCTAAAAATTTTTTTTCTTCGTTGTAAAATCGTTTTATGGCGTCCTTTTTCCATCTAAGCCGTTTAAAAAAAATGTTTTTTTCCCTTGCATATGTCCTTTAAATTTTAGGTTCACCACGTAAAATCTCATTAATTCCCACACCCAGAGCTTCACACTGGTGTATGTCTGCAAAAGATTTAACTATGGCCCAAAGGTTCAAGGTGTCTCCTAAGGTCATGGCATACCAATACTATATCTTTAACAAAAATATCAAAGATCCACCGAATAGAGTGTCACATTGTCAAAATAACAGCAAAAGATTTAAACGCCTTGTTGGTTCAACGTTAGCATTTAATAACTCAGCACTTCCTCAAGCCTTCAAACACTGGAACGGTCTTCCCGACGACACTGTCACCATATCTGATGCAAAAATGTTTCGCAGCGCACTTACTAACTTCTTTCTCATCCCAGGCTAGTATGCAAGCTGACATTCTTCGATGCTCCGTTATTATTAGCATTGTATTATGTTATTTTGTCCCAAAGTGTTTCCCATGACTGATTTAACTACTTTTAGTTATTGTCCTGTGCTTATTGTCGTCATTTGTCGCACATCAGTATGTTCTAATTTCAGTTATTCTTTTGTTTCAATGTTTTTGCGTTGTACTTTATGCCTTTGTTGGAAAATAGCCCCCCCTCATGTAATGCCCACCGGGCCTTTGAGGTATTTTGAATAAATAAATATAACCCAAATCATCATTGCCAGAACTGAAGTGAAATCACACAGTAGCAGCGGCTTGCTCCGGCATTTTAAGCACTAACATAAGATTGTTTGCCAACGTGAGCTGAAGGACCAGCCACAAAACTCGAGAAGCTCCCCGCGGCCTAAACCACTCAAATAGAAAAGGCTCTCTCCTGCATGGAGAGTGCAGAAAGCTTGATTCTTCGAAGCTGTCAAAAATGACCAGTCAGAGATAACATCTCGCTAAATGAATGGAACCGCAGACCTGTTTCGCCCAGCCAACATTACTCCTCTCGACGAAGATTCACCCAGTCACATCTCTATCCATATTAAAAGGAGCCAGGCAAGGACCCACACACTCATATTTTATAGAGTGCACGTTCAAGCAGTTTTTGAGGGATTCTGACTTTGGATTTGACTGTGCTATTTTCCATCTACTTTCACGAGGACCATTGGAATTAACAGAGTCATTTACTCACCGGACATGCCCTGCTTGTTGACTTGCCGGTCGTAGATGCGCTTCTCGAGGCAGTTGTCGCACACCAGGCGGTAGATGTGGCACGGCTTGGCCTGGCCGTAGCGGTAGATGCGGCACACGGCCTGGGCGTCGTGGCAGGGGTTCCACGAGGCGTCCAGCACCACGATGCGGTTGGCCCCCGTCAGGTTGATGCCCAGGCAGCCCGCCCGCGTCGACAGCAGGAACAGGCTCACCCCCGCGTTGGCGTTGTACTCGTTGATCAGTTTCTCGCGCTCCTGGGCCGACGTGCTGCCGTCCAAGCCTGGTTTGTCCAGGGGAGAGGGGTCGAGTTTGTCCATTAACGCGGTATTGCCAAGGTTCCCTTCAATTTCGAGAAACCTCCATCCTGGCGCTGCTACAATGAAGCTGCGCAGAAGCCCGCACAGCCCCTAAACAATCGTTTGCATACAAAAAAGAAATAAACTCATACCTATGCATCAGTGCGTAGCTCACATCTGTTAAAATATTAATGTTTAAACAGGAAAATTGCTTTCCATAGGGTGGAAGACAGTGGAGGAAACTGGGTAGTCGGGGAGTTTGGGGAACCCCTCGTATTGCATTCTTACCGGCGCTAACTTGAATTTAACGAGCATCTGTTGTGAGCCGTGGCCTAGCACACTGGAAGTTAGGCCAGCTGGCCCAGTTGGCCAGCTCCCAAACTCGCGCACTACGAACTGACTGCGCATGGTCGCATGCGTTGTGTGTCGACGTGTTGCGAGTCGCCCCGCACAATGCTCCCTCGCCTCAGTCTGTGCAAACCCGGTGTTGTCTCAAGAAAGAAATAAAAGAATGACGAGACGTCTAAAAAAAGATCTGGCAGCCCGTGCCACGAAGATGGATATTGAACTTCTATGTCGTTCCACAACTAAAGTGATCTAGTAATGTGGATATGTAGTGTGCTATGGTACTTATCGTCGGAGCCACTGTGGCAGAAGCCACTCTAGGCTTTAGATGAAGGAACTCTGGACGGCGAGCTCCAGACTCTAGATGGCAGACTCTAAACAGGGTGTCTAGCAAATTATTGTTTTGAAATTCCCCGACTTTTCCAGGCTTTCCCTGACGATTTCAGGTGAAATTCCCTGACCACTGTAGAGGCGGTTAAATATATGACCATTACAACACATGGCATTGAGCACTGAGCAGTGCGAGGATCATTTTGCACGGGCTTAATCTAACTTGCATATTCCGAAATATTCGGGTTCGTCCAGTCCGGATTAAACAAGCACTTTCTTGCCGCCGACGTCGTCGGTGAAGGGGCCACTTCCGGAAAGGAAACCGAATGGCAGCATGGCCGCCAGAAGCATACTTTCATATACTTTTGGCTTAAGGCTTGGATTGGATTGGGGTCTAGAGCTTTCCCATCTGTTACTAAATATAGTATCTCTAACTGGATGTAGCCTAGTGTCGCGCCCTCAATCCAATCCAATCCAAGGCTTGGACTGGATTGGTCGGCTGTTCCTTTTGCATCGTGCGGCACACTCTACATCGGGTGAGCAGAGTCCGCGCTCCGCTTTAAGCAGAACTTATTGCCTTTTTTCTGCCCCCAAGTCCTCAAGTTGTTGCTCAGGGTGCTTGATGGTGTTTCCGGCTCATTTCCACTGACTGGGCTCGTTTTTTGAAAATATCCCTGACAATTCCCTGATTTTTCCCGGTAATTAAAAGTTCCCTCAAGATTCCCAGTTTTCCCGGTCGCTAGACACCCTGTCTAAATTAGATAACAACTCTAGAAGGTGAACTCTACACGACAAACTAGATTCTAGACAGCACACTCTAGACAGCAAACCCTAGACTCTATATGGCACACTCTACTCTAGGCCCTCGACGGCAACTTTAGACAGCAGACACTAGACTAGGGGGCAACCCTAGAAAACGGACTCTAGATGGTAGACTTTGGGCTCTGGATGGTACACTCTACCCTAGACAGCCGGCTCCAGGCTCTGGAGACAAAATCTAGACTAGAGGGAAACCAAAAAGGCGGACTGTTGAGAAATAAAGAACAAGAAGTGGGGGGATTGGGGGCATGAGAGAGCGTGCACACCACAGGGGCAGTGTTTCGATAAACGGCCATCCGAACGGACACGATTCGGGTCTCTCCTTCCATTACACGAACTCAAGATGTTGCACTATGAACTCTAAATTATGGACTCTAGACGGTACACTCTACTCTAGACAGCAACTCTTAAAATGGCGGACTCCAGATGGTGAGCTCTAGCCGACTGACTCTAGATGACAGACTCTAAACGGCAGACTCAAGACGGCACATCCTACTCTAAGCGAAAACTCTAGGCTACATGGCGACTCTAGATGGCAACTCCAAATACCAACTTTAAAAACAGTAGACTCCAGACTGAATTCTAGACAAGGAACTCTCAACAACGGGTCTAATGGCAGTCTGTAGACTCCAGATGGCAGACTCATACCTGCCAACCTGTGGACTTTCAAATTCGTAAAAGTCCCGCGGCTGCGGCGGGGGGGGGGGGATGTGCAGCTTAATATCAGCCTGGCCAGCGTGCGAAATGCTTACATCACACGTGCACATGCTACACAATCCAAACTTCTCTCGCTTTTTGGGCGGCACGAAGCACAGAAATTTCGACGTGTAGGACTTCAGGAACACCTAAAAGTACCTCTTTTGAGGTTTGGAGTTCCGCATTGCGCCGCGAAGCCACAGTGACCAGGAGAATGCGAACCAACGTGCACCTGTGCACCGCCGAACACACGAACAAAGGCTTTGAGCTTTGGATTTTTGATCTTTGGATTGGTTTTCGATCCGTGGCCACCGGATAGACGGATAGTAAAAACCACGACGCTGCTGTGGACGGTACCTATCGCCCTCTTGTGGCGGTGCAAGATACCGCCAACAACAAAGTTACAGAAAACAACACCAAAAAAAAAAATGAAATAAAAAAAAAATAAAAAAAGTATATTTTTCGTAAGATTTGAAACAAGATTCGTAAAATTAGTCCCAATTCATACATTTTACGAAAAATTCGGAAGAGTTGGCAGGTATGGCAGACTCTAGACTCCAGGTGGCAGACTCTACACAAGGCATCACTCTACTCTAGACTAGATGGTTACAGACAAACTGTAGACTAGACAACTCTAAAAACGACAAATGACTATGCTCTAGACTGCAGACCCTTCACTCCAGACAGCAGACTCTTGACGGCGGACTTTAGACGGCTGACTCTAGACGACGGCTCTAGACGGCAGACCCTAGGCGGTGCGCTCTAGACTACATGGCAAGTCTAAAAAATGGCAGATTCTAGAATTCTAGTCAACAGACACAAGACTCCAGACACAAACCCTAGGCTCCAGACAGCTAACTATAGTCAGCTGGCTACAGCAGACTCTAGATAGGGCACTCTACTCTAGACGAAAACTCTAGACTAGACGGTATTCTGGACGGCACTGAAGATTAGATGGCAACTCTAAAATGTGCTACTCTAAATTCTAGATAATGAAATTTAGACAGTGACTCTAAACAGCAATTCAAGACAGCGGGCTCCAGACGGCAGACTCTAAGATTCCACAGCGAACTCTGAACTCTAGACGGCGGACCCTAGATAGAGGATTCCAGACGGCACTGTCAATGGCGGGCTCTACATAGCAGACTCCAGACAGCGGGCTCTCGGCAGTGCACTCACGGAAATAGTTGCGTCCCCTGGCCCACTTGTCCCCGTGGGGCAGGCCTGGCCTTAGGGGCACCTCCCGCTGCCCCAGGAAGCGCTCCACCAGGTCCAGGGTGGACAGGGACTGGCTGAACACCAGCAGCTTGTCGCCCACCCCCAGCGTCTGCTCCAGGATGGTCATGAGCACCAGGAACTTGTGGCTGTTCTCTAGCTGGTCTGGCTGATACTGCTCCAGCAGTGGGTACGCCTGCAGTCACAAGGAACAAGGAGGGCAGCTTTAACTCTGGTAACGAGCAACAGACAACCAGACGCAAACCCACACAAGAAAAGCCATCAGTTTAAAAGGCAGCCTGAAACAAGTGGGAACTTCAACAATAATATGCATACCGTATGTTCGTTATTGGATAAAATGTGCTCGCAAGATAGAGGAAGAACGGTGTCAAAAAAGGGGGTTGTGTTTCTACAGTGCTTCGCTGCAGAATATGTCTAAATGGGACCGCATTTCGACGTTTCTTTATTGAAGGTCATATTTCACTGATCAAGATTGAGACAAACTTCGCAGCCTCACTCGGCCCTCGACCGTAGCAGAATGAGCCCACCTTGCTTCTCTGTCCCTAGCCAAATGCTGTTCTCTTTTCCGGCATCTCATTGCCATGACGAACATGCCGAGCCTCACTGGGCCGCCACTTCTGTTGGGCAAGGTCCCCTTCAGTTTGCTCCCTCCTCTTGAGAGGCACCGTGAAGACGACCAAAGCACTACCAGCAAGCGTATGACTTCTATCATAGACCCCTTCCGAAAGTGCGCCCTTCGTTGGAAGCAGCGCAATCCCCGAACCATGGCAGACACTAGAGCAGGCTCCTTGCTTTCGACTGCGCATCGGCTGACAAGCTGTCACGCGACGGGAGCGAAAGCTGAAGCTACCCACTCTCCCTACTCGCACGTTCCGCAGTTTTCAGATGGTGGAACCGGCACTGCACGAGCCTTCCCCTGCCGCAGTGGTTGAGCAACGAGCTCACTACCTTGGAGTCCCGGATTCAATTCCTCTCAAAAACACTTGGAATTTTCTTCTTTCATCACAACTTGTCCGCTTACTGCGGTTGCACGATTCTAACACATACTTTTTTTTCGACAAAATCGCTGCCCAAAAATATATGGGCGTTACAATTGAAACCAAAAACCAAAACTCAAAAAGAAAAACACGGTACTCGATATAAGGTGGCTAGCCCCATCACCATTGTGACCACTTGTTTACATTCGCCATTTTAGTATCCGTATCACGCGGGAGCCGGCTCGTTGACGGCCAACTCATCGATGGCCAACTCGTTCACGGCCCATTCGTAAACAGGCCAATTCGTCGAAGGACAACTTGCCGAAAGGGGCAGTCTTTCGAAGGGCGATTCGACAAATGGGTTAAATGAGTCGGAGGAAAAATTAGTTGTTTATTGTTATCTTATGACCTAAAAATTTATTTGTGTTTGGAGTAGGGACAGCACTTTTGTTAGGTTACAAGACTGAAAGAAAAATCACCAGTGTGAAAAGACAGGACACAGCCTTAAGGGAAGTTGAGAAATGCGTCATCTCGGGATCGTCCTTTTCTGTATTATTTTTTGTAATGAGCTGCCGCAGACTGCTGCCGCTAAGTGGGTTGAACGGGTGGACATGGGGGTTGACATTTTTGTAGGGTTGTGCGAATATTCGAAATTTCGAATAATAGTTCCGAATAATACACTATTCGATATTCGCTTCGAGAAGAACTGCACTATTCGCGTTTTTCGAAGTGCTGATTGCGGCGGGTTAGCCCCGTTGAGTGCGCTTCTCACCAAGCACCGGTGCGCTGCGGAGAAGCAATACCCGCGGAAGCGAGCTCTGCGGATGTTGCTTCTCCGCAGCGCACCGGTGCTTGGTAAGAAGCGCACTCAAAGGGTAACCTGCCGCAATAAACACTTGGAAAAGTATGAATATCGTAATTGCGTGCTTGGAAGTAAAGCATACATTCAAAGCGGGATGGAGCACCTGTGCCGACTGTGTGAAGTCTACATTGTAGTAAAAGTTCCAAAATTAGACTGTTACGCAAGAGTATACTATGTTAGGCAGAGATGCCTTTACAACCTGCGTTCATCATGCACGATTCATTCTTTTTTAACTCAAGACTAAAGAAAGTATATTTTATATAACAAGATTTGTAAATTCACTTCTTTGGGTATAGTTGGCCATCTCTACAGGATTCATTTTATGTCAAATCTGTCGTTTACTTGCCATCCCAAGACACCAGACCTTCTGAGGCCACAGTTCATAAATATAGATAGATCAAACTTAGTTTATAAATAAACAAGTGGAACAACCTTCACAAGTTTAGCTGGGTTTTCGTCTAAGTGTTATGCAATGGTAGTGAAAGGCGTGGGAAAACTTCGATATTCGAATCGAAAAAATTCGGGCAAAACCACTATTTGCTTCGTATTCGCTTCAAACTCAAAATCCACTATTCGCACAAGACTACATTTTTGTATTGACTGGCCCCGGACTGTCACCGCGAAGCGTAGTGAACAGGCGGGCCAGGTAGGCTAACATGCGCCCCAGTGATACACGCGTGACGTGTGACCATCCCCCAGTGCATTGTGAAAGCGGCGAAAGCGGTAAATTCTTATCTTTGACAAGAGCATACTGAAGTCAATTACCATGCGGCGATTTTACGGATTACTACAGGGCAGTACCTGTTTTGAAGTTTCAGGGCAAAAATTATATATTTTAACTTAGAAATAGAGGCAACCAGCTGGCCTCTTCGACGAGTCTTCCTTCGACGAATTGCCCTATGACGAATTCGCCGTAAAGGAGTTGTCCTAGACCCGTATCACGCGCATTCTCTCACGTCTACGGAATCGTGTTTGCCGTTTTGAGAGGGAAAAACAAAAGAAATTCAACTAGGAGGCATTATTTCAACCAAAGGCCATTAAGCTGGCAGGAAAAGATAACAAAGGAGCAGCGCTGCGTGGCCTCGCAATCCTAGCGACCAGACGAGCTTGCAAACTTGTTTGGAGGACTGCCCTCCCAGAGCCGACGGTCACACAGTCGTACAAGCGCAAGAAGCGCGGCACCTAAAACGCTTTAGACGAAACCAAGAATTACCTACCTCTGTGGACAGCGAAGAATTACCGTTGGACTCCAACAACGGTGACTAGTGCACAGTATTTATTTTTGTATTGGTGTGCGCTTCATAAAATGGCGTGCACTTCATAAAATCTGTTCTATGAAGTATGTGTATGACCTTCATTGTTTTACCTTCACGGTAGAATCAGCAGCAATTTACTGTTTGAATATCTGGGTGCTATATCTGCCTGTGGGTTAGAATTGGGGGCGTGTTAAAATCGTGCAAACACGGTGGCACTCTCTTGTGCGCACTCGGGAGTTTCGAATTGGAACTTTCCCCAAGGGCTGAAATGAAATCGCACTTAAAAATGAAGTGCAATGAAAGAGGTATCAGTCGAACCCACCGAAGGACACCACTATATCCACATGACGGCTGTAAGAGTGTCCAAGAACTAGCTCATCCTGCGAAGTCCGTTATATCAAAATGCATGTTGTAATCAAATCTTGTCATAATTGAACGGATGATTACGACAATAACAGGAAGCTATACCGGGGGACTGCAGTGCTAAGTTATAGCACTGGACGTCGATTCATCGGGGGTGGCAGCCGTCTAGTTCGACTGGGCCACTTCGTGGAGCCGCTGCCTTCCCCGAGGTGAGCGCACATCAACAGCCGAGGCTTTACCATCATCGAACAGCCCCGCAAAGGTCGCCTTGGCTTGCTGGCCTACTCGCCTGAACTGCCACCGAAGCTCCAAGACCCGCGTGGCAGTTCGGAAGAGCATGTCGTCCTCATCCTGCATCTTGTACATTATATCATCCCATAATCACCCTTACTGGACGTGACTACACATCCAGTAATTTAAACTCTGTGTTTGCAGGCCAATTGGTACGGGCCTTCAGCCTTTCTGCGAACTCACGACTCTCCCGAGTAAAAAAATTAAATGAAGTGAAGTCCCCATTCAGCTTGGCTGAAAAGGGAACTTGCTGAAAATGGCAAGCACCCTCTTCAGCCCCGGTCGGCGCCCCAAGTACAGTACAGAACTCCACAGCTTGGACTCGATTATGTAGTTGAGGTCAAGTCCCTTTGATTGGGCGATCGCAGCTTCGGAAGCTGGATCGAGCCGGACGTCAACAACGCACCCATTCGTAGCTGATGTTGTTGTCTGACTTCTCCCGGAAGGCGGCCGGTTCCGGGGGGTATTTGGGGGCCCTTGCACACATCCCGCTGGTCTCTGCCGCAAATGGGTATGGGTTGTCCGAGGGGTCCACCCCTGGCTGGCCTAAGGGCAGACACGTCACAGATGGCACAGTGAGCGACACGACTAGGGTCAATATTTTCTTTCCCCACAGAATCATCCTAGTTTGGAATGACCTGCCCTACGACGTAGTAGTGATAGGTATGGTGCCTGGAACGCGACTACAAATAGTGTGTTTACCGAGTTCTAAAAAAAAAGCCCCTCGATTTCTGCCCGATGACACCACAGAAGTATCATGTTGTTGACGGCCACAATTCTGACGGTGTCGCAGCAACAGTTTCGGATGTGGCAGACACCCATCCTGCCGCAGTCACTGACCAGCCTGACAGTTCACAGAAGCTTTGGCAGACAGGAGTTGGAATGCCGCGGCGACGGCGACACTGTCATTCTTGCTCGCTTTTAACGCAGAATGTGTTTTATAGGTCGTTTTCTACGAGAAAATTGTCACAAATGAGTGTCATCAACGGGTGTCATGAATGATCATCGTGAACTATCAACCCGGACGAGCGTCCTTAGCGAGTGACACGCTCGGAGCGTTACATGGGTGCTCCAAGTTCAGGTGGCACCTGCGGCAGTTTTTTGTACGGAAACAGATTACGTTGCACCACTGTCTCTTTGCGACGCTGCGCACGCTTCCTTTCAGACCACCCGGATACAAAGCATTAGCGCTGAACATTCTGGGCCACCAGGGGAGGAAAAGCGTGCTTTCCTCCCCCTTCTACTTCTTGTTCCGCGCGCTCATCCTACATCACCTGTTTCTGCTCCTCCCTTTGTAACCCTTTCCAATCTGCACGCTTTCTCGCACCACCTGCTTCAGCTCCTCCAGTTCCTGTGTGCTGCATTCGTAGCTCAGTCAGCAGCGTGCTCAGCTTCCACGCCAGTGACCGGGGTTCGTTTTTTTTTTTAATATTGCTTAGCAGTTACAGACTAGTTGACCTCCACATATGGTGCCGACGCAGCTCCTGAAGTCGGCTGGCCCTATAAAGCAGCTGCTTTAAGACAAGCACAAGCCACACACGAAGTGTGGTTTGTGCAGGACGGATTTCGTGCTCCCTGGTCTTTGTCAGCATGATCTATTTTCCAAAACTTCTAGCACCAATTGCCAGGATTTCGACACCCGACTGCGTGACACTCCGGCTTCTGTGACGTCACTTGTTACTTCGGGATAACTTCAATGCAATTTTGATGGGCAGAACAGGATATTATACACACTAGTCGAAGACACATTCCAGGTACCATAGTCGTATGCGACTCCGGCTTGTTTTGAAGAGCTCAAATGTCTCATTTGTACTAAGGAATCACTTTAAGGGGGGACACTGGCTAGAGGTCAAACTTCTTAACTACTCAAGTGATTGGAATGAAATTTACAGAGGAGATTTAACGTCACATGTAGGTGTATTGTGCAAACTTTCAGCTCTCCAGGACAACTTTACATACCTGCATAAGAAGATGTGTCACTCTTTGTTAAGAAATCTATGATATGCAAGTGAAGCTATTAAGCACCATTTTGACTGCCAGAATATAAAGTGGGGGATGTGGCACTTCGGGCTATCTAGTTTTTATAACTCAAATGTAAATATTTCAGGAAGAGTGATTACCTCAAAATATGAGATGCAAATCTGTCCTATGTCAATTTTTGAAAACATAGCTTTTTATCACTGAGGACTTTAACTTAAAACAAAATAAAGTAGATAGCCCGATTCCCTAGTAAATTTCAGTTCAGAAACATCTTGATTGTGGTATTGGAACACTTTCACCTTCGAACAAAAGATTCCTTCGTATGAAATTTGCAGCAAAAAGTGGAACTGCGAAAAATGCATTCAAACATTGAACTCCTTTACTTTGTTACTGCCTCACAACGTGTTGAAAATATTTTATATCAACATAAATATTTGGCGTATGGTTATCAAATTTGGTGTAAGGGTGTATAATTAGTTTCTAAAACTGAAAACGTCAAAATTGAAAAATGAACTTTTTCAAAAAAATAAAAAGTTTAGGCCCATGTCCCCCCTTAACAGTCTTGTATTCCCACCCACATGTTTCCACATTTGTTTTATTCCTACCTTTTTAAAGTGCCAGCACTCTTAGCAGAAAACTACCCGTTTGGTTTGCTGTTTATATTTGCTATGACTGATATGTATTCACCTTCTTATGGTTAATGTACCTGAGAAGTGCCTTTAAGGAAACAATAAATGGATGAACAAATTAATTACTTTATTTACTATACTCCGCGACAACTTTTCTTGGCAATGCAGTGGAAGGTACAGGCCCGCGTCCCCTCTCCCATTTTGAGTGTACGCAGGCTCTCCTCCTCCCCCATTTCCGGGGAGAGGAGGAGAGCCCGCGCACACTCAAAATGGGAGAGGGGACGCGGGCCTGTACCTTCCACTGAATTGCCAAGAAAAGTTGTCGCGGAGTATAGAGTAATGGACACACTGTCTATGAACAAAGCTAGCGGACCAGAGATAATGTCTCCACGTGAAAATGCTAACAGTGCAGATCATACTTTGGCAGCAGATCATTTTCTCAGCACTTTAATCACATTTCTTACACAGGATGCGACGAGTGACTGTATCCGTGCTCTACGGGAAAGTAGGCTCGCGGGCTAAGCACATAAACGGTGCGTCTATTACACGAGTAAATGCAGTTGCGTGCATGGTAAAGTTGGCCCCATGAGCGGCTGCCACATAGAGAAACAGGGTTCAAGCCCCAATAGACCCTCTAAAAAATCCCAAAAGCCCGCGTGCACCGCGCGAGGAATAATGGGAGTCCTCGGTACGCCCCTCCTCCCGCTACCACGCGGCATACGTGAGCCGGCGCAGGTTACCACGGCAACGACTTTTGAGCAGCCGACTCAAGCGAGCGACGAGCCAACGGCGGCTGCCCCTTTCTCATCTCTCTCCTTTGTACCAGCTCTGTCGTCTGCTGCACCAACGCTTCGTCGAACCCGGTTGAAACCTGCCACGGTCGCGGTGCAAACTAAATGGATTCGGTGACACTTCAATATGTGAAGGTAAGTTACGACGAATAACGTATTGAAATAAGTTCACCTGTCGTGATGCCTTTACGCTGCCACAGATACGGAACGCCGCCAACAACGTACCACTCGGCGGATGGCTGCAACAGCTGCTGAAACGTGCGCGCAGTCGCACGTTTCAGGGCGCCGTACGTTTTGTAGAGTCTACTGGCCCTGACATTTTGCTTATCAATCTTTGCTCTTCTGGAAAGTTCCAGCTCATTCTCAGCTGTCATCATGCATTCTGTTCCAGGATATTTCTCAGCGTACTGCCTTCATCACCGTCGTAATATCAAGGTATCATTTGTTTGTTTTGCCTGCAAGCACAAGTTCACATCATCAAACATTTATTACAGATTCTAAATTCATCTGCTCGTTTTATTTTTGTGGCATTCCCAAGTCAACACAATCGAAGAGTCACTAATGAGGCTTCCATAAAAGGAATCTATCCCTCGTCGCCAACAAAATCTGCATCGGTCCGTAACAACCAGCCGTCCTACCGACGATAAACACGGCCCATTTCAAGCTTCGAAAACAGAAGACAATGGCAACGGATGCGTTAAGGCACGAGTCCTTAGACAAGCAGGCTTCTAAGCACCCGATGGCTCTTCGAAATACCTTTTGCACTCCTTAGAGCACCAAGAGCAAGCAAATCCCCTTCTAAAGTAGGACGCGTCCCCCGTTACCAGTGCCACGCGTGCCCATGGGGTCCTTGGACCCCGGGGGTGCCAGAAGGTCAATGTCCAGGTCGATGTCCAAGGCGCCCTCGCTCTTCTTGTCCTGCACCAGGTGGAACAGGATGTCCGGGTGGTTCCACACCTGCAAGGGCCACAAGCGGACTTCCTTCAGGTTCCGCAGACATTCGGAGGACGCCAGATGGCCTGAATTATGCTCAACGTCAACTTCTTTGTGCGACGTCGTCAAAGCTATGGTCACCGGCAGAATGAGAATGGCTGGACATCTCTTTCGGATGCACAGCCTCAAGCGTGCTCTCTGCATTCCCAAGTGCTTTCGCTGCACGTGCTTCCTTGAAGCTCCCGTGATGCCGAAGCGTTGACGAAGGTAAGAAGCTCACGCTGGAGAGATTCGCTCATCCAGAGAGATTTGTTTGGCCAAGCATCAACAATGACCTCCGAACTTGAGCACGAGCTTGTCTCGACTGCTAACTTGCAAAAGTTAAAATGACTTACTAGGACAGTGCCGGCACCGTCCTTTCCATTACCGGCCGCTCGCTTCGGTGGCATTCATCTGGACACAGCAGAAACTCTTCCGTCGTGCAATGAAAAAAAAAATGTCTTGACCCGCATCGATCGATTTACTCGCTGGACCGAAGCGTTGCCCATACGAGACATCGCTGCACAAAATGCAGCCAAAAACTTTGAGAGTGAACGGACGGTCAGCTTCGAAGTACTGTTGTCTGCGACCACGAATCGAAGCGGACAATTCAAAGTCTGCCTCGTTCTACCGACTTCCGAAACTTTGAGGAACTACCCGAGTTCAAACAGCAGCATACCGTCCCGTCGGCAACAAAATCAGCGAGCGGTTCCACCGTACTTCGAAAGCTTCTCTCAAGGCTCGTGAGCACCACATCCACCGGAGAACTCAACTCCCCGTGGTGAGTCTAGGCTTCCGTGCAACACATAGGATGGACATCGACTTCGCAGTGGGCGAGCTGGGTTACAGAGCGCAGTTTTGCCATCTGGCAGAGTCCTTTGGCTCCACTCGCAAACCTCCAGAATGTGAACCTGCAAGCTATGCGACTTTGTTTTGGGACGCTGTGCTGTTCGGCCCGATGCCCCCCGCGATCGCTACAACCTCACCCATCTTGTGTTCACGATTACTTCATCACCTCCACCCACCGATTAGTTTGTCGCAACGCAGTTCGTAAACGATGATGGTCCATGTGGTGTCACTGATTGACATACATACTGCCGAAAAATACTGTTGGAGCTAAAGGACTCCAACGGTATTTTAGAGCGCAGCTCTTAGCACCCGTTTCCGGCGTGAGCGGCGTCGGCATAACCGTGAGGTCACATGACCCCCCCCCCCCCCCCCCCCCCCCCCCCCCCCCCGTTGAGAACACGTGACCCTCAGTACCCTTCTCTCCTCCTCCTCAAGAGCTGCGCTCTAATTCGGCGTTACAGGGAGTTGTAAACGGCTTTCATTTTTTCACTTCATTTTCAATGGAAACTGGGTTAATCCAGACTTAGGCACTTGTCCGGTCAAATCGGGCGCTTAACTTACAATTCATTTCGCTATTCCAAGTTCATAAAGGCATAGAGCCGTATGGAAATCTGCAGGAGAATTAGAGTTTGTTCGTTAAAATCAGAACTTTTGTAAGACCGGGTTTCGTAAAATCGAGTTTCGACCGTATAATCTTGTAAATAAATTAAAGAGACGTTCAGTCCCTTTACAGCAATGCTTGATCCGTGCGCAGAGTGCAATTACAGATTTTGGACTCCATAAGAAATGAAACTGGCAGAACCAAACAAGCCGACCATGACCGCTCATCGGAGAAAGAGATTGCACTATAAACGGGGGACTGCAAAAGCCTAAATTCCTTTCAAACCTAATACAGTCATGTCAAAATGACAAGAAGCACAGGTCAGAGACAGAGAGGTGAAAGAGGGGGAGGAGCGAAAGAAAAAGGGTGGCAGCGGCCCAACAAGTCTCCTTGGCCATGCCTCGGGAAACAAACGAGAATTTTTGCGGCCCTTGCTCCTCCGTGTGGTGCATCCCACGCACCGAGCAACTTTGCCACAGAGAGGGATCGGTCATCGAGGCATGCAAGTGTGCTTTCGAGTTCTTTCTTTTCTACACCACCCACTGGAAATCAGTGAAGGCTATACATTGGACGTGAGCGCTGGGTCGGTGCTATGCTGAAACTCGTGCTCAATCACTCCGGTTCTAGATGAATGCAGCACTCGTGACACTCTTTCCTTAGAGGAGCGCATTACAGGAGTCTGCTAAGCCCTCTGACACACTGCAAATTAAAAAAATCACCCGGCTTAAACATTCCATCAAATGCAATGAAAAAGCAAAGGCACCTGATGGGTTGCTTTTAACGAGCAGCATTTTCTATTGAATTTGAGCAAAGATATTTCCCCACCATATTTAGCGGGGAAATCGCAATGTCGCGTCGCGAGATATCGTGACATGTCGTGACGCTGCGACATCGTTCACTGACCGTGCCTCACGCGAAACCATAACGTTGCACGATACTCCAACATCCTTCGACACTTTGTTTCTTCTAGCATGGTCGATCCAGCAGCGGCGCTCCGTTGCAGCCACACTCTCCTGTGACCTTGCTACAGAGCGGCCAACACGAGTGAGCAAGGTCCGTAGGGGGCTTCCGCATAAATCTGTCGCTTTAAAAAGAAAAGCGACACAGAGACAGGAACAGTGCCCACCTTGCAACAGACGGCGAAGAACTTGAGCGGGTTGGTGGCCCGGTAGTTGTGCAGGAACTCCTTGACAAACTCCCGGTAGAGGGTGCGCTGGATCGGGGTCATGCGGATGAGCAGCACGTGCTCCTCCTTGCGGGGAAGGGCGTCACGCAGCACCGCATGCCCGCGCCTGCCAGACACATTCGCTCGCTCAACACACTTCGCATAATTTACAAAAAAGTTACGGTCTACAAAACTCGCACAAATACGACAAAATTCAAATGTAACTTAATCCTACGGACAGCTGGGAAGCGCAGAACGCGCCGCGTGGTTTGAGCGGCGCTGGATGTTTAATTATGAGCTTTCCCGAACCCTAGAGTGCAGCTATATTTAATGGAGTTACGTCCCGCTAAGTGTTGTGTGCTACCTTTCAGTGTTGCATCTTTCGTGGCCCATTTTCTTACGGAGCCCTAACCCTATGCTCCCTCTGCGTAAAAAAAGAAAAAAATTTACGAAATTGAGGAAAGTGATTTTGCGCGACCTTGCGTGGACCTTGCGTATCGTGCGCGACCTTGCGTGTCGTGCGCACATTACATGGTCACGTGTCGCACATTACATGGTCCCGTGACTCGTACGAGCCGTGTTACCTGCGGTGGCGTCCCACTAAATTTGCCACGACGATTCGGAAAATGACTTTCCGAACTTTAGCAGGAAGAAAAAAAGTTGTGGCCTTTTTTAACATTTCAAGAGGACAGAAAAGCCTTTCCTGCTATTTCAGATGAGGCCTCAGATAACTGACAATGCCATTTCAAGGAAACATGTGCCAGGGAAAACCCTTTTTTTTTTTATCATTAACGGATTAAATTTTTAAAGTTCATAGTGCTTGATCTCTTCTTTTTTTATAAAACTGAAGTTGGTTTCGATGTAGCTTGTTTTCTTATGTTCTGGAATGTTCTGGATGCAATGCACGTGCAAGAAATCCATGTTCTTGGGCAAAGGTGGGGCATGGTAACACACTTAAAAGAGCCTAGTAAAATAAGCTAACTCGCTTTCTTTAAACGACTCAGTGCAATGAACAGCAAAGATATTGTGTGCGAGACCTCTTTTATTTATTTAAAAATAATCGAAGATTGCGAAAATGCTCTTTTAAAAGGGTTAACACAAGTGTCTAAATTTGTGTGAACACAAAAAAATTGCATTTTAACTAAACCTTGATAGTTGCATTCTACATATCATATGCATGCCAAATTTAATTTTGATAAAATACTATTAAGGACAAAAATTCTTGTCTGCAGCCTGTAAAGATGCCCCAAAATAACAAAAATAAAAAAAAAAAACATGTTAGAACATTACCATAGACGTGCATCTATGCCCTTTTCAGATTAGAAAACTAATTTTTCTTATTAACTTACTGCGAGAAATTGAAGCTACAGAAGAATGCGATGGAGAGGAGACGGCTAGGCCTACTTCACAAAAGAAAGGACGGCAGGCGACGTCGCAGTTCGAAGAGCCACTCACACGAAAATGGATCAAATTTGTGCCTTTCTGGTTCGCCGGGACTTGCTCAATTGCATATCTGACTAGACTCACTAGTATCAGATACGGTACTTATTATTTGATACGTAAAACACAAAAGTCAGAGGTGATAAAACAGTTTGAAATCCTAAACCAAATTTCTCTTGTGGAAATATCGCAGCTCTTCAACTCGCATCATAGACCACCTACTAAAGCGACATTACAGCAAAGAGTAGCCCCGGTAGTCGCTCCAGTATGGCTCTAGAGTGAAGCGGTCACCAGCCCCCCTCCCAAGGGAGAGTGGGCGAGGCCCCCACCTCTGCACGAATCCCTGGAGCAGGCTGTGCAGCACGTGGGCCCTGAAGCGCATGAGCTGCCGGTCCTTGGGGGTGCTGTCCAGGCACTGGCCGTTCTGGATGGGACGCTCAAACATGTTGCAGAACTCCGACCGGGTGCCCAGGTACGAGGGACGCACAAAGTCCACCATGCACCAGTACTCCAGCAGGTTGTTCTGCAGCGGGTAGCCCGTCAGCACAATGCGCCGCCTGCAACCCCACGCCGGTCGATTCAGTCAGGGTCCAGACGGGTCGTCAAGGCAGCCCTTCCCCCAAAGCAGCTCAACCGTACAGAACACCGACAATACTTTCGCAGGGTCAGCTGTAACGGAGCTTGCGCACGTTTAGCGCGGGTGGCTTTGGGCACCATCCTCGCCCCTTCGCGGATGATGGTTGTGGTTGAGAAGCGGCACAATCGGCCGATTGCAATTGCGCAAAGGGTCGCGCGGTCGTGCTCATCGCCGCGTGCTCTTTCGCGCCTTCGGTCGCCAGTTCCCTCGGCACTCTATGCCTTGGCGCGCGAGAATAGGATGGCCGCTCGGCAGCGTAGATGCGCCCGCGAGAGACGACGTCGTCAATGCGCGGGCGCCGAATGTCTTGCCCTGGGCATCGGGATGGAACGCGTTCCACGTCAAGGTTGTGTTGTGCGCGGACGTGAAGCGGCACGTAGAAGAGGATGTCGTTGAGCGAAAGATGGACATGCTGGTGCGGTCGGGCAATAGACTACTTCCATAAAGCCCTGCATGCAACACGGCGCACATTGCACTCTGGGAACTAGTTGGCCAGTGAGGAGAGTGGCATGGTTTCGGTTTCGATCGACACGTCGACAAGAGATTACACACAGAGCGTGGATTATTAACGGCCGTTATCTCATGTTTTCTGGTCCCGAAAACGTCATTTGTAATCTCTAAACTAACCCAAATGGCCAGATCTCAAAGCTTTAGCACAAGCCCGAGACGTATAGCTTGTCTTAACACATGCTTGTTGTATTTTTGTACTTGAGCCTTTCTGTTAGCGTTTCGAGGTATGTGGACGAGCCAGTGCTGGGAATGCCGACGCTGCGAAGCTCGGGGATCTTGCTTATGTACGAATCAACAAGCTGTAGCAACCAATAAGTATGCATGCATCGAGCTCGCGCCTTTACATTAGTGTTGTTGATTAGGAAGTTTGTTTGTTTCGTGCGTCCATAGACGAAATATTACTTTTTGCAATTACTGTTTTCTTAATACGCCTCTATACGCGAGGTAAAACTCGGAGGTGCCACTGAAAAGCTCAATTTTAACACTCTTCTAATCTCTTATCTGTACTGACCCGTAGCACTGCACGAAGCGAATTCTCCACCCACTTGCATTTTACTAATATTCAACATCGCGTATGCGCGTAAAGTTATCCTGCAATCGTATAGGGACCATTCGCACATACAAACCATTTTAAGAAAGCAAGTCGAGCACTTGTGTGAAAAATGTCACATTATTCGCCAGAAGTACGCCGGACGGGCATGAACCCCTATGCGGTGCGCCAAACGAACGAAATTATTCAAAGTGCATTTGACGGTTGCTAATAATGACCATAATATCTGTTATGGGTTTGCTTTCTTCCTGCCTGAGTATGCCGAGATAATTTTAGGCACACCGTTCAAGCACAGATCTTGGGCGCCAGTAAAAGCTCGTCCAAAAAGGCTTAGCGAGGAGTAGGGGACGCTTGTTAGGGCCTCCATCGTAGCTAGCCGATCTCAGTGTTTGCGAAAACTTGATCTTCTATCAGCATAAAATTTGAGTGGGAGATATATGATGACACGAGGAAGACATCATAGTAACTTTGGTGCAGTAGTGAGGTCGAATTTATTGCGTTTCCTTAAAAGTTCATGCGTCAACGCTGGGCTCAACTTTGATACTCCTATGAGGATGCGGCTTGCTTTTCGCGCAATGAAGTAACAAGAAGCGGACGTTTGGCAAACAAAATATGTGTAATGCTCCAGGTGACCGAATTTCACTTGTAGTTCACTGGTACTAGACGGGATTATTGAAATTGAACTCAAAGATGAGGTGACTAAGCTACGTCTTACTACGGTTGCATATGCAGTCATGATATCCGGTGCTTCGGGAACCAAGGAAAGTGGACCGGCCTTTGCTTTGTATCGCTCGAGAACGAGTGTATTGTATATTCGTAAAAAAGTCAGATAATCGAAAACGCAAGCAGCGCCTTCGGTCGCGGCGTGATAGCGTGAGATGAATCTGCTCAGTCGAAACCAAAACTGAGTGGCCAACTAGTTCCCAGAGTGCACTGCGTGGTATTTCGCCGCAATGGGGCGCGTTGGTTTTGGAAGAAGTCCATTGGTGAGGCGCATCCTCTTGTACCAAAAGAATTACCATGAATGCCCAATGGGAAAAACGATGCAATGGGTCAACGCAAACACACGACGCACTTGCGTTCGCCGGCATTATGCGAAGTACAGCCAAGCCCGATTATATCGAACCCGAAAATTTTAAAACATTGCCTATTTCGAATGGCCGAGGCACCCACATGAAAATCCCATCTAAGAGTATAGGTGCCTTCTCGCACGTCTGTGTTGAACTTCACCACCTGATGCATTCGACGCGTTAAACCGCACGCCGCACCCCTGGTAGGGAGGCGTTCGCTAAACACGCTGCCATCGCCGCGCGGTTTGCACGCGCCAAGGAGAAATGACTCTGGCCACGGGCAGCAAAAGGCGAGAAGTGGTGTAGGCGAAAAAAAAGATTGACTGTGCAATCACTCTTTGAGCGCCTTGTTAATCTTTGTTTGCCTTTTCTTTCTTTGTTTTTGCTTTGCCTTTATTTCTTGCCCCGTTTTCTTTTTACTCTGTGATTTTACATTTCTTATCGTTTTGTTGCTAGGTGGAGTTTTTCTATGGAGGAAGAAATAGTTTTTTTGGGGAATTCCACTCTTGGTTTTCTGTCTTACTTTTTTTTATTACATATTTTCGTGTTCCGTCGTTTGTGCTGCCAGGATCATGGCCACGCGTGTGCGTAAGCGCAGAGAGTGAGGGCGCAAGTGGCGGCACTTCCAACTACGCTTAGTGAGGCACCACCGATTTGGCGGCTCTCGAATGCTCAATTTGCTAAGCCTTCGTTTGTCCCGACCTTCGGTATTAGCAGAGACGCGCAGAAATTTCAACCGGAGCTTAGTTAACATATTTTTGTTTATTGAATTGTCGATATATAAAACCATTTTACGATCCCCTTTGACTTCAATACATCTGGATTCGACCGTATCGAAGCTTTCTTATGTATGTGAACAATTCGTTAAAGGCGGACGACCAGATTCAAGATTCTGCGAGGCTCCTCTCCATATCTTCGAGCGAGGGAAGCAAAGGACGAAAAGAAAAGAGTGAGAAAGGCAAGCACGGGGTTGTGCACACCGTTCGGTAGTGGGGTGGTTCAAGGTCAAGCAAGTTGGCGTCCATTGTTCGAGCGCGTAAATGGGCATAAGCCTGCAAAAAGGGTGCCCCCTCAATGGACGCATCACAATCAGTGAGCCGGAGGTTTAGCGAAGGAACCTTCCAGGACCAGGAAATGGGAACAGTTTGTTTTGTGCACCGCGCAGAACGTCTTTGAGGTGAGCTTCTTTAATCACCGCATTTTTTTTATCAATGTGAATTGACTTTTTTTTTTAATAGCTGTTACCCCCTGTCGGAAGCTTGAATCGGAATTCACTGGTATGAGAAAGGAAGAGAGAAGCAGCTTCTTTGTACAAACTCCAGGGCGAAAGATAAGCTGCAGATAAGTCCGAATGTGTACGAAGGGTATGGTGGGGGAACTCAATCACCCACAGGTGATTGAGTTCCCCCACCATACCCTTCGTACACATTCCACCGCAAAATACCGGGCAAGTGCCCACTCAAACTTTGGAGATAATCGAAAAAAAATGGGGCATGGGCGCTTGTCCGGCCATCAATTTTACGTATAAATGTACTGCGCCTATTTTCTCAGATCTTACAAATTTGGTAATGGGTGCTTGATGTGGAATGGGCGGATGTACAGTATTCCACGGCAGGAAGCAGGGTCTATCTCCCATTCTCGGGAGGCCGTGGCTTATTTCGCTCGAACATGCAATTACGTGTTTTCATACTCAACTTGCGAACCAGTGTCTGCGTGGGGCTGCGCATGTGCAAAGGATGTTCTCCAATATCCAAAAAGTTGGAAAAAAAAAAAAACTAAATGAAGCATTTTAATATTAAGAATTGCTTCCAGTCATATTTAGCAACATCGGCCCCCCCCCCCCCCCCCCCCCCCCAAAAAAAAAAAAAACTTGGAAGGGAACATATAAAGAAATGGCAGTGCACGGCACACACATCAACAGCATTGTAACTCACAAACTCGAGGCCACTTGACAATCACGTTGGGGTTGTTCTTTTGTAACCTAACCCCTTTCTTTTCTAGTAGAAGTCTATGGCTTAGCTACCATGGGCTTAGCGGTGCAGGGGTAAGGGAAGAGGGGGTAGAGGGGGGGGGGGGGGGGGAAGGGGAGGGGGAAACATGCAATGGTGGAAAACGGTAGAAGGAGGGAGAGGAGGAAGCGAGGGAATGGTGGAAAGTGCAAACTGGTCGTCGGCCTTAAGCTATCATTTTTCAATTTTTCAATTTTTTACGTATGCAAACAATTAGCTCGGAGTGCTGTTAGCCAAATTGAAGAAATGGTTTCACGGATGTCTCAAACTTGAACAAACACTCGGCTCCGGGCACTGAGTACGCACTTGGTGCGAATGCTCTTGAGTGCGGCCGAGGTGCTAGCGTTGCAGTTCTTGATGCGGTGGCCTTCGTCGCAGATCACCAAGTCTGGGCCGGGGTTCACCAGGGCCTGGTAGACGTCTGCGGAGAAAACCAGTCACCTTTATTCAAACAGCGTAAGCCGAGATCTACGACACCTTAGAGTCGCACCGATACACAATAAACGTAAGAAGACGTCGATTTCATGGCAATAAATATGTGAAAGCAAACGCAAAAAAATTAGCCTCTTTCCAGCGCCATTGTGGAAAAAGCGGCGGTAACGCAAAAGGTATTGTGGGTTGATTTGGGGGAATTGCAGGAATACTATTTCCTGTAATTTCGGATAAAGCTCCAGAGCACTGGCAAGAATAATTTTAACCCCTTAACCGTTTTGGACGAGCCTAGTTCGTCGACCTAGAGCAGTCACCAAAATGTTTAGGACGAGTGTAGCTCATCCACGCACCCTACCTCATCCTTGGCTGTTTAAAACGACCCAGGCTTGTTCATAGCTTAGTTTGCGGTGCCGCTCAGAGATGGCAGAATGTGTTTTTAGAGCGCAGCTCCTAGGGGCCCGTTTCCGACTTGAGCAGCGTCGGCGTTGGCGTCGCCGTCAACGTAACCGCAAGGTCACGTGACCCCCCAGGTCACGTGACCCCCTTGAGGTCACGTGACGCCCCTAAGGTCATGGACCCCCCTCAGGTCACGCGATTCCCAAGGTCACATGACCCCCTCAGGCCACGTGACCCCTCCGAGGTCACCCCCCCCCCCCCCCCCCCGAGGTCACGTGACCCCCTAAAGTCACATGACCCCCTTGAGATCACGTGACCTCAAGGAGTCACCTATCCCTCAGTACGCTTCCATCTTCCTCCTCAAGAGCTGCGCTCTAACCGGCGTTACAGGGAATTGTAAACGGCTTTCATTTTTATTGTGCATGTTTTTAAAGATGGCGACCGATTATGAAGACACGTGCAACCCAAGCCGCACATAGAATAAAAAAATATAAGAAATCAGGATAAAATATTTTTAAAATAAAAATTAAGGAAATAAGGGCTGAAGTGTGGTTGCACTGAAGGGCAGCTAATTAGTGGCTCCGGTGCCTCCAAACGGAAGGCGTGCTGGCAACCGAGACGCGCGCTTTGGGAGAGAGTGGGGTGCAAGGCGGGCATACCCTGGAGCAGCTGGGAGTGGCGGGAGTCGTCCTCGGGCTCCTCCTTGCGCCTCCGCCGCTTGCTGGGGCGCGACACCTTCTTGAGGGCCAGCATGCGGTACATCTCGTAGCCCATGAGCAGAACCCCGCCCTTGTTGTGCCAGTCCACTGCAGCAACGAGGCACCCCCCCTTCTTTTACTACTTCTTTCGGGGTGTGCCCAAGGGCCGGAGAGTAGCCAAAATTAAGGTGACTAGACGTCCAGTTTTGGCCGGGAAAGTCCAGTCTTGTCTTAGAGGTTAGTTTCTGCCGTCCCATATTTTTGGTCTAACGAAGCCTCGTGTCCTGTTTTCGTGGGAACATGCATATTGTATTTACTCGCATAATGAACGCACCCCCCCCCCCCCCCCAAAGGTCATCACTATTTGGACTTTTTTTTCTTCTCGCGTAAATAACGCACTTTTAATTTTCAGCTTTGCGAGTCTTGATTTGCGTCCAAATTAGCCAGCCACCAAGCCCGCCAATTTGTTTTGCCGCCAAGCGGCCAGGCAGAGTCAAGCCAAGCCAAGCCAAGCCAAGCCGATCTCGTAATGGCTGCAATTGCATTATTGCGGAAGTGATCAACCGTGAAACCGAGCGGTGCGCAAGCCTAGCGAAGCTGGGGTCGAGGAATTTCCCAGCCCCAGACGTGCTTCGTCTATCGAATGCACTGATGTCAACAAAACACGCCGCCATCTGTGATCCGCTTTCAAACAGTGATAATGTGAAAGTAGTTAGGCCTATAAACGCTCCCGTTGCTCTCTGTGCTGAGTGAGCTTCGTAGGGCACTTTTTCTTCGGCAAAAGGCATGCCAAAAGCGCCATAACAAAGGTTGGCAATTTATAGATCACGATTACCTGCGGCGCGTCCACGACCAGCCGTGGGCGCACCTCCATCAGTAGAGACGTGCCACAGTACCCTGCCATGTCATTTTGGCACCCAAAAATGACATATTAGCAAAGTGTGTAAATGCAAACATTTTACCCTGCGTAATGAATGCCCCCCCTAAATATGGGCAAATTTTTCGGTAAACAAAAGTGTGTTCATTATGCGAGTAAATACGGTAGTAGTTGCGAGATCAGTACTAAGTGAATGAAAGAAAACCGAAAGAATGTTGTAAAAATATACATACTATGAAACATCCTGTAGTTGCATCTGCTAACACATTTTGTTTACATAAACGTGTCTGCGGGAGACTCTTCTATGTTAATGAATTTGACATGATTCGGTTGGCAACATCTTCGTTAAAAACTGGGGGAGAAAAATGTGTGTTGTCAAAGAACTGTAGAAAAATGTGCGTGTTTACGATTACGTGAAGCAGACTTTTTTTTTTTTCTTCCCGCCACTCCTTTTTTTTGACGCCAAGGATTATGGTTTACCCTAGACAAAATATATTATCATTTCACGAGAAATATGTCCTGCAGAAACGCACAAAGACACGAGCATTAATTACATTTGACTACGAGGAAAAACAAACACTATGATATCCGATAACAGAGAAAAATATGATATCCGATAACAAAGAAAAAGCATTGATAGTGTTCATTTAGGTAACATTGAAAGAACATACCTCACAGATGTAAGGGGCCTACAAAGGAATGACAAAAGTAGGAGCAAGGAAGGCAAAATTTTGCTTTGGTAAATACAGCAAATGAAAACAGGAGAGGCGTGAAGCTCGTATTTTTCGTAGGCAGCGGAAGTAAGGTAGCTAATTACGACGTGGCTCATAGATGGTGCCACCTCGTGCGGTGGCACCGTTTATTATGGTTTCACAAATCCTTTCGTGTGCATGAACTACTTCTTCCATCCGTGAGCTGCAGTGTCAATCGGTTTAAACTTTTGACGTAGGTGCTATGGAACTTCTGCATCCAGGACATTGTCTCTGGGGCAGCCTTCCGGCGAATTTTTATGTTTTGATGCACAATGATTTCAAGTGTTGCGAAAAACTATTTTTTAGGCTTCATACGAGGGAATGTAAGAGAATAATACCTCCAAATATCTTTCTCATAAAATATAGTGTTAAAATTAATCAAATTCATACAAATTATTGCTACATTCTTCATACATTTACCATACATTGTGGTGTAAAGGTAGACTCCGAATATAGGCCTAAGCCCCCCCCCCCCCCCCCCCCTCAAAATCTAGCCAATAATGTTTTTTTTTTTTTTTCATTGACTTTTTTTTTTATATAAACATTTTTGAGATACCCATTTCTGAAAAATTTGACTTGTATGCGGCAATAAACGGTAGTAATTTTTCACTAAAATCTCCATCATTGTCATTCGAAAGATTAAACCTTCCGAGTGCTTTTATTGAATAAAAACACCACATACGAGGAAGGTACAGTACTGACTCACAATTCATTGTTTTGCTGCAGATTTCTGTCAAGTTAAGTGTCTGTAATTATGTCCACCATCTTTACAGCCTCCCCCTGTAGCCGAGTGCCCTTGCACCACCTGCGTGGCAGCCTCTCCATAACCCGCTGGAACCACTTTCTGAGAGCGCCCCACTCCCACGCCCTGACAGATGCTTCCAGTTTATCAGTGACGGCAAAATGGCGTCCTCGCAAAGGTTTTTTCGAGCCACAGGACAGGTGATGACCAATGGTCGCATGGCGTGCCAGAAAGACGGCCAAACAAACCCGATCAGGTGCCGGTCCATCGCTGCATCGCGTGCATACACACGTGAGGCCGTGATTGGCCGACATCCAACTGGATTCGGCCGTCATTTTATGGCGTGTCGCACAGCCAGTCAGACGTTTGGCCACGAGCAAGTATGGCCCGACGGGGCCCCCAGTGGTTATTACCCATCGTGTGGCTTGAAAAGAACCTTTTGCGAGGATGACATTTCGTGGTCATAAAGAACCTGGAAGCAGCTATCCAGGCATGAATGTGAGGCACTCCCAAAAAGTATATCCAAAGGAGCTGGAGCTGCATATGACATCCTCCAAAGCCTAAGCAGACTCACAAAACTGGAAAGGAGAGACTCACTCGGCAACGGGGAAAGAGTGTAGACCGTGACAAAGGATTTATTGAAAAATTATTAAATGCTCGCGAAGAACGTAGGAATAGCCCACGTGAATGCCATGAGCGAATGTTCAATGGCTTCTGAGAAAACCATTTAGAGGCATCACTTTTGCACCTCCCCTCCTAAATTTCGGAATGGGGCCAACACCTCATCGATCACAAAGCCACGGTGCCGAATTTTCGACGTCTCCTAAAGAAGGCAGACAATGGACTCGGGCACGACTGCCGCGTTCGGCTGGGACTCGTATACCTACGATCGAATGTGATTCCCTAAAAAAGAGCCCAAAGTACACAAGGACAAGAAAGTGGACGATACAGGACACACTCGCAACTAACGTTTTTTTAACAGCCTATTGCTTATACAGTCGTGGCAAAATGCTCAGTCACAACTATTGCTAATGCAGCCCCTAGTTCCAATTCAGAGGATCGAGAAGCGACATATATATTTCCTCATCAGCAAAGAAATATGCGTTCTTGGCACGTAGGAGGATACACCAGCAATAGTTGATTAAGCGTTTCGCCACGGCCGTATAAGTAGGATTGCGTGTTTTCTGAGTTCATTTCTCCTGGAATTCGGAAGGCATTTTTCGGAGGCAATTTTTCGCCAAAAATGAGGGGTTTATCGGATCTTATTTGTGTTCGAGTGGGTTGGTAAAGGTAAATAAAACTTATTTTGTGTTTTTCAAATCAACTCTGAAATTCTGAGTTTATTTCACCATGTACCCAATTTTTAAAATTTAAAAACAAAACATAAAATTTGGCTGCCATGACCCGTTGTCCCGAAAAACCTCGACAAGCTAAAACACAAACCCCTTTTGTCGGTACCTTGGTATTTCGAAGGAAACCGAAGTGGCATTTCCTCGGGACAACCAACCCTGTGCTCTTACAAAGTTTATTTGTAAAACACCGCCTTTGTTGCTTCTTGTTTTGTCGTCATGATCTCGAAATTCTGAGTTTTTTCGGATAAATCCGAATTGACGAAAAAATTCACCCGCGAGTGTTTACACAAAACCCTACATATAAGCGAATGGTTTATCGATGAACAATCACCGTGGAGTGCGCCCCGTGTTGTCCACTTTCTTGTCCTCGCATATTTTTTGCAGCTCATCTTACGCACCACAAGCCGACCGACCCAAATTGCCCGTTTAATGAACGCGGTTCCAGCCAAACGTCGACACGTGTACAATATGCGTAAGGCGATGGCAAAAGCGCCGTGGCTTTGCGGTCTTGGGAAATGAGAGCCCGGCGGCGTGACGGAACCGGACTCACGTATGAGGTCCGCCCTGGCGGGGGTGGAGCGGTACATGTCGTTGAGGAGGTAGACATGGTAGGAGCGGGGCCGCACCGAGGTTGGGGCCACCTCGGGGGCGGGCACCCATTTGTCGAACTCGGCCAGCCAGTTCTGGATGGTGTTGATGGGAGTGATGCAGAGCACCTTCTTGGCCCCCGTGTGGCGCAGCAGCACGTCCACAAAGGACACCACCTGCAGCGTCTTGCCCAGGCCCATGCTGTGCGCCAGGATGCAGCCAAAGCCGCTCGAGGTGTCGAAGCGCCCCACGCTCTCCACCACGTTGTCGAACAGGAAGCGGATGCCGCCAATCTGCGCGGGGGCGTCACAGTCCGGATTTACTTGTCGCTCGCAACGGGGTCCTCTTATTTCGGCCACAGAGACGCCGAACTGACGTGCAAAGAGATTCATCGCTTTGCGTGCTTGGTTGCACGAAGGTTTTTGGTAACCTTACTTGCATGCAACTCCAAGTACCTGAACATGGTTGAGTATATAGAAACGACAAGCTGACGCCCGAAGGGATTCTTTGCGTTGCGTGCAATGTGACAAACCCACGCTGCGTGCGAGGTTGCACGGTCGAGGTTTTGGGCAACCTTGGTTGCCTGCAACTCAAAGTATTTGAATGTGATCAAGTATATAGAAACGACAAACTGACCCCCAAAGAGATTCGTCGCATTGCGTGCAATGCAAAAAGCCCGCACTGCGTGCGAGGTTGCACAATCTAGGTTTTGAGTAACCTTAGTTGCATGCAACTACAGGTGCCTGAACATGATTGAATCAGATCGGTTCTAGGAATGTTTGTAAATTTGTCCAAAGGGAAGTGGATGCAACCATTCTCCAGGCACGTAAGCAATGTGACCGCCAGTGGCTCGTCACAGTCAGGATTCAATGAACACTTGTGAAGTGACAGTTCTCTTCTCTTGGTGGCAGAAATGTTGAACTAATATATAAAGTCATTCGGTGCAGCGAACCTTAGATATTGCGTAATTGTGGTTTCAGGCAACCTAAGTTGCACACAGCTGTCAGTGCCTGAACGTGATTGAATAAGATTGGCTCTATGAATGTTCACACATTCTCGAAAAGGAAGGCAAACAGACAGCTCGCCACAATCAAGATTCACCAAACGCTTCTAAAATGATGACTATCTTCTGACAGCGACAGACACCAAAATGATGCTTGAAGAGAGCTGCAGCCTTGCACAAAATGTGATGAATCTCGACTGCCTGTAAGGTGGCATGCAGTGCAGATTTTAGTAATTTCAGGCATCCTTAGTTGCATGCAACAATGAGTGCCTAAACATAATTAAACCATGTTGGCTGCTGTGGAAGGTAAGAGCCTCTATAACTGCTGTAGAGGAATAAGTTGGCCTCCAAGTGTGAACACTAATACGGGGCTTTAACCACAGGTTGAACAGTAATGCGATTCAGTGCAATGCCTGTTCATACTGAATCTGACAGGGGCAGGATTTTATCTCCATGACATTCATATCCACACACACAAGGGTCGTTCAAGGTTGACTGAGACTTTTATTCTTACGGAGGAAATGTAAAATCTGGCAACCATAAAACTATGTCAGTTTTGCTAAGTATACTCCACAAATCTATGCACCGCTGCCATCGTTTTGGCAGCTCTCTTTGGGATAGGAAGTACTGGGATCTGTGACTGCAGTTGGAGAAACATGCCAGCATGGTACATTTGTCACCAGCTGTCGTCTTTCGCCAAGCCGTTGACATCATTGGCACACTCTTGTCCACGACATTATTTAGTTCCCCATACCGTGCTTGCAATCTTCCCAAAATTTCAGCTGGTTTAACTTCCTCCTTTGCCACAAATTTTATTGTGCACTGCTGCTCCACAGCAAGACACACTGCTCACCGCCATGAGAGCTGAAACTGCTGCACATCCAACAAATACTAGACCCTTCCAAAAACTCAGTGGAATCCAGTGACTAAAAGAAAAGTTTAAATTTTGCCGTGCTCACAGCGGTAATGAACCCGTAGTCCGCAGTATTTTATTGTGCACCACCGCTTCCGCAAGTCAATGTTAGATGATAATGTGTTCTTCACTATGCTGTTAATTCTCAATATCTCACTTCCGATGGTGACAAAGATGATACCAGTCAGAATGGAGTGCGAACACACAGACGCCTTTATAAAACTCTCCACATCGAGGGGTTTCAAAGCCGACAGTGTGCCACCAACATATCGACTGGACCAGGGTTAGAAACAAACACTTACGTGCCTCTTGTATTCAATTCCTAAGCCGTATAGTGCTAACGTATTGAACGTGCAAGCATTGCATCATCAACCTCTTCCTTTTCGCCAGTCACCGGGAGGCTGCCACCAGTACGAAGCAGGAGCCATTCCTTAGACGACAGTAGTGATCAATGTGGCCAGACTGAATTTCAGAAAGCGTCCATTTCTTACGGATGAAACTTCCGGTCGACCTTCGACGAACCCCCCCTAGGGTTTCCCCAGAAATTGAAATTAAGGGAGTGCCTTCAAAAAAACAAGGGGCACTGTACACCCCCCCTAGGGGTGTGTAGGGAAATTACTGGTCAAGGATGTTGGCGCCTCACCTGGTGCGGCTTGACGAGGGGCGCCAGCTGGGGCGCGAGGAAGACATCGGGGTCTTCGGGCGGGTGGCCCACGTTCACCAGCACCCTGCCGAGGGGGTCTGGCTGGTTGAGGGCGTCGTTGACATGCGAGCCGTCACCCCCCAGCTCCTCCGCCTTCTCCTCCTCCTCGCCCTCATCGCTCACCACCATCACCACATCGTCATCCTCCTCCTCCTGGGGAAGCTTGCCCTCGTCCGACGACGAGATGTCGATCACGTCGCCCGCTGAAAGGCACATTCGAATCACAGGTCAGCCCCGGCAACGGCACAACGGGGCCGAGGCGGTCTGCTAGGCGACGCGGGTGTCTCGATCGGTGGGTAAAATATGCCGCGAGAGGAATTCTGTTACGGGGTGGGTTTCGCCAAAAGGTGAATCATTGCACTCGACTCTTACGCTCGACTGGGGGACGGGTCGCCGAGTGCTGCAGCTGGCAAACTGCAGCTCGAATCAATGGAGCGAAAGCTCATGCTGCAGAGCCCGTGGGTCCGTAGGTACTCATGCCCATTTCGATCCGGACAAGCGTCATACCGATGTGTATCCTTACTGCGTGATGCACATTAAAGACCGGATGTGAGGTCGTGTATCCTTTTGGCTGGAATTGGCTGGAACGCTATACTCCGTTTCATACTTAGAGAACAACGTTGTCAAAGCTGCTGTACGAGCATGAGGTTTGATCTCTCAGATCATTTGCACGCATTCTCGCGCAAACGAAACCATAAATGAAGACACTTTTCAAAAGCAAGAGCCATCTTGCAGTAGTCTCAAAGGCTCCAACATTTCTGCACACAAGGCGGAGATAGGAGAACAATAGCAACTAAATCAAGCGCCCTCAACTTCCCGAATCAAAGGCGACGTATAAGTACCAGCATCTTAGAATCAAGTCCTCGTTTTCTGCTCTATGCTTTCGAAGACGTCCGCTTTTCCTGGTGCAGAGATGCCATGCAATGCCGGCATTAGAGTGTCGGCTTTGGCTCTGCACAGGGTGCGTGGAATGACTTTCGAAAAGGGTTTATTTATCCTTGTGGAGCCGGTCACAACACCTAAAAATCCATTTGCGGCTCTTTTCCCTGCTAGTTCACATACCCACATTGATCGGCAAACCGGCCCGGGGAGGTAAAGATAAGAGACAATGTCATGAGCTTGTCGAACGAGTAGCAAAGGTTTCCCTTTTGCTTCAGCGGCATCGCTGACACTCAGCATGATGTACTTCCACAACACTATCCTGCTTCTGGATGGCAGGACCCACCAACTCTTCTAATATACGGTAAAGTGGATATTCTAACAAAATATCAAAGCAGCAATTTTTTTTTTTCAGGTTGGATTTTTCGGATAATTTGAGACCATTGTTTAATTCACCATTTGTAGATTTACTCACATACTCTTTAGACTACTATCTCACACTATTTGTGCAGATAGTTTATACATCAATCAGGGTTCTCCCCAGGAGTTTCTGAGGGGTGGACATTACCGGAGGGAAAGGGGAAAAGGGGGTTCATTCTTTCGTTTTTGTTTTTTTCATTGTGTTTGTTTCTTTTTTAATTCCCTTCCTTCCTTCCTTCCCCTTGTGGCAGTGGCGGCAGTCAGCGATGTGATAGCGAATGATAACGTGGTGGTGCGCAGACCTGCCGAGTACGACGACGACGGTCTGCAGCCATGTGCGCAGGCAAAATCGCATAGTCATCCCTTGACATAAAAAAAAAATCAACCGGTGGGCGGCTAGTTGGAGCGGTGGGCGGCTAGTCGGAGCGGCGAGCAGCAAAGCCGCTGCTGCCCATCGTGGGGAGAACCCTGACATCGATGGATGGCTCAGGCCTGCTCAAATAATGCTGAAACTGGCAAAACGCTTTACTTGGAAGAAACGACAGTTTATTTTTAGGGAGCACAAGGCATTTGGGAGTTCAGCCAATTTGGGAGCTTAGGGAATCACTGAGGTTACTCTCTGGAATCCCAGGGTCCTCCCCTAGAGCCCAGTTTGGGAACCCTAAAGTAACGTAAAATTTTAGAACTGTAACTACTCTACTAGAGTTCCAAATAAAGCTAGTAGTACTTCTAAATAAATATATAAACAAATAAACACTGGGAAAGTGCCTAGGTATATGTCTGTACAGGTGCCCACTATCAACTTTTACGGATTTTGAAGATTGTCCAAAATGCCCACTTCCCCCAGAACAGCCTTCACCGGACAGCAAAGCCTTCCTGCACTTGGTAATGCAACAAATGTCTAAAAACTAAGAAAAAAAAAAAGCTGCTGTTTTTTTATTTTTTGTAATTTTATTGCACCCCTTTCTTCTGTCCATTTTATTTATTTTATTTCTGTGGTCATTGTCAAACATCTATCAAACAAAGGACGAAAAAGAAAAATGCCCTCGAAGTGCATTGCACAACAGCTGAGCTTGTCAATGATTACACAGAACTTTTTTCCTCATCATCCCGTTTGTTGTTGCTGTTGTTTTTTTTTCTTGCAATTTATATTTGGGTTTTTTCCAACTTTTGGGGCAGTTTTTTTTTGTTTTTTTACTTGTTCTTGGATTTAATATTTAAGATTTCTTGACTTTGAGAAGAGTGACCAAAGAACATCCAAGAATCCTTGATTTTGAGATGAGTGACCAAGAAATGCGTGGCACTTACGGAAATTCAATTCGTGGCCAAGAAAAACTTTCTAGATACACGACTTCAGGTCGAAGGAGTTCTTACGAGATTTGCTTGTCGGAGGAACAAGCAATGCTTTTGGCGTTTGAAACGTGCATGTCTTGATAAGGTAATGTATATCTAATGAAAATGCATTTACATATATTTTAGTTTTCAATAAAAAGGTGGAAATTAGTAATGCGCCGCGAGAAGCCGGGAGTTTTTTTTTACTACAATTCTTGAGGTGAAAACGAGTGTAGAGTTAGAGGTGTTTCCTCCCCCGTGAAAGTAATCATGTCTTTTGGCCCGGCCTTGTGTGAACTGTGTGTGCATGATTGTTCCTTTTTGTTTTGTTTAAACACCCTTTCTAGTTATGCAAGAGTCCTGTAATCGGCTGACAGTATCAATAAATCAATATTCTCCTTTATCTGGACGTTCCATTAGCGGCTACCGCCTTGGCTCTGATTGTTCGGACCAAATAAGCAGCCACACCTTCATTTCGTCTTATTTCTGTCAAACTTTGGGTGGGTGAGACGTCGGTAATTACCGGCAACCCCCTGGTGTCTGATTGCGGTCACCGTAAGAGTGAGCTCCTCCACCTTGCGAGCCAAGAGGTCGTCAGGAGGCAATTCACCCGCTAATGCGAGCAAAGTTTGCAGGTTTCATCTGCTAAGAATTCTCAAATAAAACGAAAAAGCACCTAGCGTAATTTTCTAATGCACCGGTTCTCAAACTCAAGTCCATGCGGGGGGTCTCCCGACGTCCCTGAGCTCCAAAATTTCTTAGAACATCGCTACTCCTAAATAAAGTGTTTTTCCAGTTTAAGCACCGTTTTATCATTTGAAGCCATTCGCTGATGCAAAACTACGAGCCAAACTGCTTCCTAGTATTTGCACTATTGTTTACAACAGGGACCGGCAACCTTTTGCTGCAGTGGGCCAAATCGCCGCAAAGCGAAGACAGAGGGGGGGCCAGATGGAAAACCGAGGAAGGGGGGGGGGAGGGGGTCAGCATTTGACAGACTTGTACAAGATACTAAAAAAAAAGTACTTAAGTTAGTGAATACTAGACAAAACGAAATTTGAGCAGAGTACTAAATACTCATAAAAGTAGCTTGTTACTTTTAAGATACCCTCAAGTTATACAGGGTGTTTCACGAAAGGTTGACAAATTTGATATTGCGAAAACTGTGTGGTCTTAATATTGCTAAAACTGTGTGGTCTTAACGAAAAAAAGCTTGTGTCGTTTCGGTCCTGGGCCAGGGCCTATTTAGAAAAATTATTAAAGTCCGGGATAATTAGAGTAATTATTTTTGCGTAATTAACTTTTTCAATATCGTGTTTAGGGGCATGGTTTCAATTAGAAAATTGCTGAGCATCATTGAAAATCACTAAATCAACATATTGCAGAATGATAGAAGGCCTGCGCGGCAATTTACGGCTTTCTGAAAAACCGCACAAATTCGACGGGTTTTTAAGTTTCGGTTTGTAATCGGAGCACATCTCGGCCCCGACGACCCCGCGGAGAAATAGTGCAACCAGCTTCTGCTGCGTTGAGCGAATACAGCGCAGCAGAGGTTGGTTGCACTATTTCTCCACGGGGCGCGGTGCCGTCGGAGCCGACTAAAGAACATTGAGGGCCAGCACCCAATCATTCTTTGTAATGTGGACTCCAAGATTTTTGTGCAAAAATTCTAACCTGTCATTTTTCATCAGAATCCCCGTAGTAAGCTTGTGTGTGGCAAAAACTGTTTCTAATACATCGGTGTAGCCCCCAACAATTGCTGATGAATAATAGAGTGATTGAGCATGGGAAACTATCGCCTTACGTACCATTTCAAATATAATGGGTCCGATTAGACCAGGTTTTCAAACAACCCTATTTCTTGCACCATTAGTCTTGGAGTGTGTGGGTCGCTGATTGCCAACCCCTGGTTTACAAGGTCTGCGAGCTCCTACGCTGGTTTACTACATCCATGCCAAGGAAATTTGGTGCACTTTCCAGAAATAATTGGGGGTTAAAGGGTTAAACACTTATTTTCAGTTTGCCCCCGTTGAGCCTCTTCCACTTGCGACAATATCTTGGCTCGCTCCGCGAGAGAAACGTTAGATCTCGCCCTCCCGGCGACCGAAACAGACCCCCACCGACGCATCCCCAATTCCGCGTGCCCCAGAAGCAGAAAGAGGGAGAGAGAGGGGGGGCTCACGTGGCAGGGGCGGCACGTCCACGTCGTCGTCGGAGCTGTCGTCGGCCTCGTCGCTGCTGCTGTCGCTGCTCGAGCTGGAGCTGGAGCTACCCAGGGCAATGGGCCCCAGGTGGCTCCCCTGCTGCTGCAGGGCCCGCAGCCGGGCTTCCTGCAGCCGCTTCATGCGCTCCTGCTCCTCCTTCTGCGCATTCAGCGTCACCTCGTCCAGCTCCATCTCGTTCTTGATGTCCCTGCACACCCGCCGTCTCGTAAACACCCATACCGATACCATGGATTGCTCTGAACTCAACCAAAGTTCTTTTCTTCAATGCTATCTCCCGCGAGCAGACAACGCGTCGACTGCTTCCAGCCGAGCATTTCGTCTGCTTCAAACCCACATTATTGACAGATGCTACCGGAATTATAACTCCTCGATGTTTACACTTGTTGCTACTCGAGAATGTCCCACCGGGTGGTATGCGAACAGCGCGTTGCTTGGAAAGCGAGCAACACTCACCGGATATTCTTGCGCTGCAGGCCCTTCTTGGGGTCGAGGGGCACCTCGTGCTTCTTCTTCTTGGCTTCATCCCTCTTGCGGCGCCCCTTCTTGCGGGGTGTACCCTCATTGGAGGTACCCGAGGAGGACGCCTTCTCCTCGGGCTTGGGCTCCTCCTCTGCCTTAGGGCGCTTGGCCGAGGGCGGCGCCTCCTGGGGGGGCCAAGCCCCACCCTCCGCCCGGAACCCCGCCTGCGGGGCCTGAGGGGGCGGGGCCTCGTACCGGCCCTGCTCCTGCCCAAAGTGCTGCTGCTGAGGCGGAGCCCCCTGGGGGACCATGGGCCCCGCCGAGCCCGCCTCCTGCCCCCTGAACGCCGTCTGCCCGGAGAGCCCCATGCCGGTTCCCAAAAGGGGGGACGACGAGGGAAGAGTCCGCTGGTGCAGCCCCATGGGCGCCGGCTGCTCGGGAGGCTGCAGGTGCGACTGATTGGTTGGGGGCCCCGCAAGCGGGTGCTGCTGATTGGCCGGCGGCCCCGCCAGGGAGTGCTGCAGGTAACCACCGCCCTTCTGCGGGGACGGCGGGGACGGCTGGAAGGGCACGTGGTCACCCCGCCCGGTCGGGGGACCCGGAAAGTACTGGGACGAAGGCAGGCCCGTGCCGGAGGCCCCGAGCCACCAGGGTGCGGCCGAGCCCGGGTACAGGTCGTTGCCGCCCTGGTAGCGGGGCTGGTGGGGCTCGCTGGTGGCCGCCGGGTACTGTGGGTGCGGCAGCCAGTAGGGGGAGCCCGAGGAGGGGGCGGGGGGGTGCATGTCCCCGCCCATGGAAAAAGGCGACTGGTGGAACCAGGGGTTGGGGTTCTGGCCACCTGGGTTCAGCGGGGCGGGGCTCGGCACAGCCTGGGACGAACTGGTGCTTGGGAAGCCCGGGAACATGTCCGAGCCCGCAGACTCGGGGCCTCGGCCGCCGCACGTGTTCTCAAGAAGCCCTGCAAAGGGAAGGGGTTCCTCGGTGTCACCGACGAAAGTGCCACTAGTGTTGTAGCGTTGTAACGGAGCAACGGGACAACACCATTACAGACACAAAAACACCACAGACATCATGGCAGACTCATATCTCAGCGTGAGGGCAGCAGACGGCACTGATTATAGTTGGTGACAGGTTCAAGGGATACTGACTGAACCGAAATATGAAGTTTCAAAAATAATGCCCGAGCAAGCTTCTCAGGTCGGTAAAGTACCTAAATATGTGATTCACACAGATGGATAATGACCAGATTATTTTTTTTTTTTAAACAAAGTTCTCTGACTGCGCCGATCAGGCGAACCGTCGGCTGGAAGCAGACAGTGCAAACGAGGCCTTCTGCAAGTAGACGTGGTGGAGCTGACATACTCTTACTTGCCCTCTCTTTCGTTCTTGTTTATCAGATCGCCATAGCATGTCAGGCACTCGTTCGACGACACCGACGACGCGGACGGGCCACAGGTGTGTGGCAGCACTTTAGGTCTCTTCCTCGGTACACGCTCACGCTCCTCATCAAATGTCACTTCGCTGCCGCTGCTGCTGCTGCCGCATGTCGCCATAGCACAACCGAGGTGCAAGCAGGTACGAGCATGCCTGACGAGCATGGAACGGACCGAGGTTGCCAAATACTGGATGGATGGGTTACTAGCAGCTATGCCGTCTGTAACGCGTGGCAGCTCGTGCCACCTAGCCTAAACCAGGCAGAGCGCCTGCCCGAGAACGCCTACCTGGCCGGGCAAGTAGTGCGACATCACAAAGCGAGCTACCAAAAACACGCACCAGGGGTTGTGTACCATATTTATATTTGATTTAATGAATTTTGGGCACAATCTCGCTTAAGACAACGTAACTTAAAACTAATGGGTGTGCCATAAATGTCATTACAAACGACAATTTCCACCCAAATTATTGGTTCTGTATCCCTTTTAGGAACAGACGATCCGCCTCAAGCACTAGCTTTCTGACATTGACAACACTCTGTCACAAGCGCTGAAAAAGCCCAGCGGAAGGCAAGGATTACGTGCTGGGGGCTAAGCATCTTGTAGGCTCTTAACCTATCACCCACCACAGTTGTCTTTAGAAGTTCTCAGGGACCCTCCAGAGAGGGTGTGCCACTTTAACTGTGGAAAGCTACTTGGGCCAAGGGAGGGGGACGCAAATTTGGAAAAGAAACAGAACTTACTCTCCAGCTGTCCCAGGCCCCCGGTCCAAGCCTTCATGTTCTCCGAGTGAGGATCCGACAGCGACCGCACCAGCTCCTTGATGTCCATGCCCCGTCAGCGCCATCCTCGGCGTCTGCAACAGGGCAGGGCGGTGAGACCCTATTTCGTCGGCTCCCCAGGATCGAGCCGCGTCACTGCTCGCGCAATCGGCAGCCCACAAACGCGCTGACATCTCGTTCGTGCAGCCAGTGCCGAGCGGCACAGCGGCGCGATTCTCGTCGTCCTCTCGGCTTTCACAAAGCCGAAGTAATAAACATGCAAAACAAAAGCAGCCTCCGAAAAACGCTTTGCAGAAGGCAGCGGCGTGCCTACGGGTTCTTCGATCACGCCCGAGTCGAGGCAGACTTCGAGGGACCCCAGTGGGCCCTAACCGGGGCGGAAGTAGGGTCCACAGAGCCGTTTGCCAGGCACTGAACGCGAACGATTATCTCGCATCACGATTCGACCCAAAGCTCCGACGGCACTGACAAGACGCCCCTCGGCGGGGCCCCGGCGTGCCGTTGGACGAGATCCGGACGGCACCGAGGCCCCGGGTTCATCAGGGGCACCCAGGGTCCCGTCCTCAGGCCTTTGGGGGCCAAGGTTGGGTGCGAAACAGTCGTCCCCCATGCCCATTGTGAGGCAGGCACCCCTAACCCTACGCCGTCGGGCCGCCGGCCCCATCAGCCGCGGCGCCGTGCGCCGCCGCTCACCTGGAAGCGAGTACGGGGCACATTGCTAGGCCGGCTGGGCCCGGAGCTGGAACCCGGAGAAGCTGGGGGCCTTCGGATTCCGGGACTGTTGACAAAACATTCAGCGACGAAGGGACCGACGAAATGGCGACACTCGCAGCACTCCGTTTCCGTTTCCGGAGGCTTGCCGACAAGAGAGAAGGGGGTCCGAGGTGGGGAACCAGCCGGGCGCTTCGCTGCTGGACGGCTCGCTGCCCGCGGTCTTCGACGGTGGGTTTCCTTTTCGGCCGGTTCGCTGACCTCCGGCGACCAGAAGCTTCGTCAGGGTGCGACCATTAGCCCGCGCTCACTCTCCGCACGATCCCGGCGAACCGCGCTGGCCCACTTCTGGAAGGCATCGCTGGCATCGCGCTTTTGGATCTTTACTTGTTCGACCAACGCAGTCCTCCTCCCGTGTCCGCGGCGGCCGTCGGCTTCCCAGTCAGGATTGAAAGAGGTTCGACTCGGCCGGGGCTCGACGAAAAGGAGCAAAATGAATGCTTCTTGTAAGGCGGTGCGTACGATCGAGCCGTTTAATTGCCTCGGAGAATGACTGGTCCCACGGCGTCTCCAATCGGCAGCTCCTTTGACGAGAGCTCGTTATCGATTTATGCAAAGCGGAGCACGCGTTCATTAGCGCTCTTTCTTCCGGCACTGTGTCGAGAGGCAGTGAAAAAGAAAACGCGACGCTTGAAGCCTTGCACGCTGCCGCGACTTCGGCTCGCCGCTACAAACCCACCTCGGAACTCCGTCCACCGGCCCATTGGGCTGACGGATAGCCGTTTCGCGGCTTTCCGCGATATTTCTCGGACCGCATGAATTAAAAGACTGGCAGTCCGAACGTAATTGGGTTAGAAATAACGCCTGCAGTTCGACACTTGCTTGGAGACCGTTTACAGCGTCTGTGTTTTTTTTTTTTTTTCTCTTTTTATTGGAGGATATCGAGTCCACATGTTTCTCGCACGTGCAAGGAAGGTCTGCCGCAACATCTAAAATCCTCAGAAAAAGACGTCAAACTGAATTATGTTCTCCCGCACAATCACACAATGTTCATCCGCACATTAGTTCTCGTATTGTCTCTTCCGTATTTTTTCTTTTTTTTAATAAATTTGAAATGTTTAGGAAATTATGCATTAGGTAAATTTTCCTCGCCTCCTCCTTGCGCAGGAGCTGTGGTGACTTCTGAAAGACGCCGAACTATGATTGGCTATGATTGAAGGACGGGGTAGACCTCAAGGCATCTTGCTTTGAGGTCTACCCACTATCCTTCGTAAAGAACCAATCAGAGCTCGGCGTTCTGACGTCACCACAACCCCTGCAAAAGAAGCAGACAAACTTGCGCTTTGCATAGGCTTCGTTTTTTTTAGGTTCTGATGACCAAAAACAAGATGGCAAGCTTGTTTTCAGTCTGGTGAGAGCACAATTAAAGTCAGCTGTCCTGAATAAAGGGCACCACAGAAATTTCCTTTCATACCAATTGGTCAGTTGACAAAAGGTCTCAACGGAGGCCAGTCGCACCTGTGATTCTGATAGCCCACTATTTCAGTTTTGTGATTAGAACGTACAATATGTGCCTCTTACATATGTAGGAGGCATGATCCTGTACATTTTGTCGGAGGGTGAGAGGGAGGCACCAGAAGTTTCTGTATTACCTCCACATGGCCACGGCACTTCTCATAGCAGTACTTCAAACTTGTAAATATGGGAAGAAAACTAACGCTCCCCAGTGACTACGTCCAGACATTTAGTGGTTTTGAAGTGCATATACGTCTAGTGAAAGCACCGTTGTTTGCAAGCTTGTATAATAGTATTAACAAAGTACTTTCCAACGTCATTGGGTATCAAGTGGTTTAATGAGGTACGTTCTCTCGGTATGTACTTGTACACTCGGCATTAAACACGTCTAGGGCGCGGGAGCGGTGTGATCCGGATTGCGCGTGTAACATCTGTGGAATTAGGGAAAGGACTCGTTGGTTTTTAGAGTAACAGAACATGGTTTATTATATTGAAAACTCATTTAAGTGAAGTTAGAGAAGGCACGTCCTCCTTCGACTGTCGTTCCAACAAGAAGGGCGAAGTCGCCCCCACCAAGCGTCGGTCCAAGAGGGGGGCTCGTCGTTTATGACCCCACGGTGGGGCGCGCTCTCCACGCGGCCCTCCGTCCCTCTCCCCGGTTTCCCGGAAAGGGGCTGGTGCCTCGGTTTCTGCTCGTCTTCGAAGTCGCTCTTCCTTCCCTCTTCCCGGCTCGGGCATCTCCACGTTTTCTTCTTTTTATTTTACAACACATTCCCCCCCAAAATGACAGCGTCATTTTTTTGTCCCGTTATGCGATCTCTAGAGGGTACAATAACTGTATGGGTCTTTTGAGCGTTGACCCTCCAGGCATCTTGAGCAGGCATGATCGTACTTTGCCGTCTCTTCCCGGAAACACCTTCTGGATCCTAGCGAGTCTCCACTGCTGTCGGGGCCGCAGGCCGTCTCGGAGAAGAACCAGATCACCCTCTTCCAGCAGTTTTCCCTGGCGTTGTTTCTGGCTTTGCACTTTCCTCAGTTCCACCAGGTACTCTTGGCTCCATCGGCGCCAGAAGGCTTCCGTTATCATCTGTCGGTGGGTCCAAAACCTGCGGAGGTCGGTGTGAACACCTTCGACATCTTTCTTCCCCATGCTTGGCAGCGTCGTCAGTCGTCTGCCCGTCAAAAAGAAAGACGGACAGAGGGGCTCGGGCTCTCCGGGTTCGTCGTAGACGTGAGTAAGCGGTCTCGAGTTCAATACCGCCTCGATCTCGGTCAGTGTTGTTGCCAACTCGTCGAAATTTAAACATCTGGCACCAATCGCTTTCTTTAGTGAGAGCTTCGTTGATCCGACGAGGCGCTCGTAGAACCCGCCCCACCATGGGGCGCGCTCGACGATGAATTTCCACTCGATTCGTGCGTTGGTAACGTAACCAAGGACCTCGAGATCACGAATAGCGCTCCATAGTTGTTGGAGGTCTCTGTTGGCTTTCTTGAATGAGAGTGCGTTATCGCTGTAAATGGTCCGAGGGACACCTCTTCGTGAGATGAAACGTCTCAGCGCCATCAAAAATGACTCGGTGGACATATCTCTGACGAGCTCTAAGTGAATCGCTCTCGTTACGGCACAAGTGAACAAAGTCACATAGGACTTGTGCAGTCCGTTTTCTCCCTTTACCAGCAGTGGTCCTGCAAAGTCGACGCCAGTGACCTCGAAGGGTTGAGCCTGTGTCACTCGGTCTCGTGGAAGCGGAGCGGTCACTTCCGTCGCCGGACGGGCATTGAAGCGCTGGCACGTCACGCATCCCTTGATTATCTTCTTCACCAATTGCCGTGCTCGCACCACCCAGTACCTCTCTCTAAGCTGGGCCAGGGTGTCCCGAACTCCCCCGTGTAGCACCTGACGATGCGACTGTCGGACAAGCAATTCTCCCAAGCGATGTCTGCCTGTCAATACGCTGGGGTGTCGTTCAGAGTACGGCTTGTCACTCTGTTGAAGCCTACCGGTGACACGGAGAATGCCGTCATCGTCAATGTGCACTGGGACGTCTCGTAGAGGCGAGTCCGATGGAAGACGCTCCCTTTTTTGTGTACTCCCGATTTCCCGTTGAAGCTCTTCCCGCTGTACTTGACGTATCCAGTATTTTTCGGCTTGATCCAGTTCGATGGCTGTAAGTTGACCGGTGTTACTGTTTACATGCCGTAGCTTGCCGACATAGCGCAGAATCCACGCTGTCACCCGAAAGAGGCGTGCTGCATCGCTGTAGCGTTCAATGTTCAGCACTGAAGGAACCGCAGTGGAGCTCGTTGCCTGGAGCACCTCAATCGTCCTTCTCTCCACCAACGCTGTCGGCGGAGAGTCATCCACTAGTGGGGAGTGTGGCCAAGAGCTCTCGTGCATCTTGATCCACGGTGCTCCCTCCCACCAAAGAGAACTGTCAACAAGCTGATCAGCACCGATCCCTCTGGTCATGAGATCTGCCGGGTTTTCCAGTCCGGGGCAGTGTCTCCACGCAGAGATGTCGGTGAGGCGTTGAATCTCAGTCACCCGGTTCTGCACGAACTGTTTCCACTGAGATAGCTCCCCTGTGATCCAATGCAGAGCTATCGTTGAGTCCGTCCAGAAGTGTGACTCGTCTGGCGTTTGTTTCAAGCTTCGCATGACGTAGCTGTGCAACCTGGCCGCCAACAGACATGCCATCAACTCCAGTCGCGGTAGTGTCAGTTGCTTGACTGGAGCGATTCGTGACTTGCTCATCAGGATGGTCGATGTAGTACTTCCATCCGCGTCTGTGACACAGATGTAAGCCACTGCTCCGTACCCGATCGGGCTGGCGTCGGCAAATACGTGCAGGGTAGTTTTCTCCGCACTTCCAGTCGTGCCGGCTTGGTAGTAGCGCTGCACCCGAATGTTTTGCAGATCGTTCAGTTCACTACACCATTGCATCCATTTCCCGTCCAAGTCCTGTGGCAGTTTTTCATCCCATTCCACATGTCGTTGCCATAGCTGCTGGAATAGAGCTTTTGCCCTAACAGTGAATGGTGACAACCATCCGAGGGGGTCGTACAGGCGAGCCGTTGTTTTGAGAAGGGATCTCTTCGTGCTCATTCCAGAATCTGGTTGCGTAGTCGTCGATGGAGTGAACGTCAGGTGATCAGTGTGGGGGCTCCACGTCAGTCCCAACACCTTGAGGACGCCCGTGAGATATCCTAGGTGCTTGGCCTCACAACTGTCATTCACGAAGCGTTCGTTCATACTCTGGTTATTTGAGGCCCACTTGTGGAGTGTCATGGAAGCAGTCCCGAAGATGGCGTTTGCGTCGTTGTAAAGCCTCATAGCTTCCTCCTCGTTTTCTGCTCCCGTCAGGAGGTCGTCGACGTAGAGGCAATCCGCAAGAATCGTTGCTGTGTCTGGGTAGTCTTCCTCCATGCTCTTCAGATGATGCCTGAGGGTTGCCACGAGCAGGAATGGGCTGGCTGTTGTTCTGAAGGGAACTCTCGTCATGCGCCAAGCTTGTACCTGGGGTCGCGGTTCATTCGCGTCTGGCGTCGTCTGGTACCACAGGAAGCGCAATGCGTCCCGGTCCTCTTCCTGTATTACAATCTGCAGGAATGCTTTTTCGATATCTGCCACCAACGCGATTCTGTGGCTTCTGAAGTTGAGTAGCAAGCCAACGAGGTCAGCGGTCAAGTTAGGTCCGCTTTCAAGGTTTTGGTTAAGTGACCTCGACCTGTTGCCATGCGATGAAGCGTCAAACACGACGCGCAACCTCGTCGTACTGCTTGACTCTCGGAGCACCGCCTGATGTGGCATGTAGTAGGTCGGCTTCTGCTCGTCGACGTCGTTCCTCGTTACCGGCTCTGCCATTCCTTCGAAACAGTACTGTCTCATTACAGCGTCGTACTCGCGAAGCAGGTCCGGTGTTTTTTGGAGACGGTTCGTCAGCTGGGTCAGTCGTTTTTCTGCTATTTCCCTGTTGTCGTCGAGATTCACGTTTGATTTCCAGGGAAGAGCAACTTCGTATCGGGAACCAACTCGTTTGATGGTCTCCTCGAAGGAGTCTAGCTGCCGTTGTTTTGCCGAGTCAACTCCTTCGTTTTCAGTCACTCCGATTGACTCCAGTGTCCAAAACCGCTCTAAGCAGTCTGTTGCTTCAGCCGTTGCCACTGATGTCTTGAGGGCGATCGTTTGCGTACATTGTACGTCGTGAACTGTTCCTCTCATGGGACCCTGGATACTCCATCCGAATGCA